GTGTCCGATAAACCAGCCATTAGGGTTAAAGGGTTAAGGCGTATGGTGTTAATGTAATGTGTCATCTCATGGTACCGGCCATTTTACCACCCTCTTGGAATATATATATACAAGTATCTATCTATAAAATTGTGTTATTTATCTATATCTTGTTCCTCTAATATGCAATTGAAAGATTATAAATATACAAGGTAATTATGTAGCCAGTAAAGCAGTCGCTTGTGGGTTAAGAAAATAATATGGATGTGGTTCAGCTTCAGAGCAAGGTTATCACTATAATGTCTGCACCAGCACCTTGTTGTATTGATTTGTCTGCTCTCTATTGTTTTCTATTGAAAATTTTACACCACTTTTATACTTAAGTACTAACTATGTTAACTCCACCATTTGTGATCTCGACCAGGAGTTTTAATGAACTTCCTCACTCTTAATATAAACAACATTGGACACCATACCTCAAACAAGAAGTTAACATGTAAACAGGGAGACCTGTATATAAATAAGACCTTCATGTAAACATAGAGCCTATATAAGCCAACACAATTGCCTACACAGGTGTTATCAGTGAAAATATAAGCCCACTTTCAAACCTGGGTTTATAATAATTAATCAAAAGATTATTAATCAATATCTCATTAACCCAATCAGTACTAGCTGGTCAAGCACCTGTAGATGATGTAATATTATAACATGTTACCTGTTAATTACAGGTGTAATTACACTGACAGAGGGTTAATATTATTGTTTCAGATCAGCTGTTTAACAGATGATTTGGTGAGGAGATCAGCTGTTTAACAGATGATTTGGTGATGAGATCAGCTGTTTAACAGATGATTTGGTGATGAAATTAGTATTTAAAACTCCATTTCATTTAAGTTTCCTAGTAAAATCAATACTATGATCTAACTGAAGGGTGATAATATCAGACCACTACACTACAGTATTTACTACTAGTCAGATTATTGATTTTAATTTCCCATAAACAACTTTGGTATAGTGTAGAGTATTTGTTAATGTGACTGTGCTAAAATTTAAGAGGAAGATTAAATGAATGTCTAATTCTAAATGTCATTTACAGATTAACCAAAGCTTAATATAGAGTGTAGCTTTAAGCTCTTATGGCTAGGTAAATCAACGCGCCATTCCTTTCTGAAATTTACCATTACTCATAAAGTGTCTTTACTAAAGCATGATTCATAATGACTCGAAGACAATGATCACTGAGACTGAAATTTCACAATTCAATATCAATAGTAGGACTATCATAGGACAATCATCTTGTCAGTGAATGAATGAAGTCATCTATTTATTGCCCAGCAAATTACTGATAACTTGAATGAGATGATTAAACTACTACAGAATGAACATATTGATTTCATTTTCATCTCAATAATGATGATACAGACACGGAACTTTGATGAATAAAACTGGTACTGCATTTCATATATAGTAAAGTTGTGTCTGTATTCTATTCCATTTTTTTTTAGCTAAATCAATACATTTATCCCTACAGAAACTTGCTAATATAAAGATCATCTTTAAAAAAATGTACTGCTATTCAAAAGTCCAAAAAAATAAAAACAAATGTCTATAGATTACAAGGATAACATCTAAGATTCTCATGGATCTACAAGTTTGGTTAAGGACAAACCTCTTGGCATTGATCTTTCCTGGATTGACTTATACAACACCACTAACTTCAATTAAACACAGTTCAATTCTTCATAAGAAATTTAGGCATTTGTAATTTTAAGTGTCATTAGTTTTTCAGCTCATACTGCTGTATAATATCATAATATTCATTGGTTTAGTTTTGTTACAGAATGTTTTCAAAGATATTAAATTTAACACCATTGGATAAAATCTATTGATGTAACCCATTTTACTCCATCAATCATATATCTAGATCAACATTTAAACTAACATGTGTAAAATTTAGAATAAGATCTATTATAAAATCTCTTTCAATCATATGATGTATATCTTGTGGTTCACCGACCAATTAAAATCATCATTCAGAAAAACTGAATTCACCAATACCACAATACTACAACCACCCTCTGATACAACCACCCTCTGATACAACCAACCTCTGATACAACCACCCTCTGATACAACCACCCTCTGATACAACCACCCTCGGATACAACCACCCTCTGATACAACCACCCTCGGATACAACCACCCTCTGATACAACAACCCTCTGATACAACCACCCTCTGATACAACCACCCTCTGATACAACCACCCTCTGATACAACCACCCTCTAATACAACCACCCTCTGATACAACAACCCTCTGATACAACCACCCTCTGATACAACCACCCTCGGATACAGCAACCCTCTGATACAACCACCCTCTGATACAAAAGGAGACATAAGGCTACAAATAACAGTCACCCTCTCTGAAAGATTGGCAGATCCAGGTGGGGAGTGGAACCAGGTGATATAGTCAGGTAAACCTACTCTGCCTTGCTTGAGACACCTGCACCAAAATTGTAGCTTAAACTTTGTAGACCTTAATCCAATAGCTTAAAGCTATATTAAGATGTTATGTAGGCCCTTTTTTTTTAAACATAAGCACCAAGCTAACCTCACCCACTCCCCAATCTAAAGAGGTCACATTTGCCCAAATAAACATTACAAACATAATATATGTCATGCTTGAGTAGCCCACAATTCAGACTCCTTTACAAATTATTACAAAACATCTCAAATTATACAAAATACATAGTCTGGGTTAGGTCAATGAGAAAAGGTTTGGTTGGTGAGAAATGCCCTGTAAACCTTAAGTATACCTGAGCTGTGTTGTTAAAAATGTTCGCAGCGAGATATTTCACTCAGTAACTTTGTGATTTGTTGTCAATTTTCAATGTGATATTTTCATGGCAGGACTGAAGAAGGTTGAAGATTTGAAATTTCAAAAATAAGAGGGACAGTAGGCAAACTACATCAATCCAACTGAGAAAATAAAACATGACTTAAAAAAATACCTCAACTCAAACTTAATAAACATCCTTAAACTGTCAAAACAATCTAATTTATACAGTATATATATATAGTTTAATTTTGGAGAATTTCTGGGAGGGGCAGGATGAATTGGTTTAAATAAAAATTGTAGCAAAGAAATAAAACTATCTTCAATCTAAGAAATCCACTTCCATAAATTCTAAGCATATTAAGTCGTAAAAAAGAAACTTGTCTTATGTCTACACTTAGGTAATTGTCATGAAATCTCTATAAGAATCATAGAGGTCAATTGAAAATCAATTTGACCAGAGTTTGGTGCCACTTGGGTGTTCTGATCAGAACCATGGGTAAGAAAACAAAACCCTTCTGTGGTAGACCTACTTGCATCATCTCAACACTTTTCCTCACTGCCCGTAAGCTTCCCTTTTGGGGTTTGACCCCTGTTAATTTGGAGAGTTCAAGGTCATTTGAAGGTGAAGCAAGATGACCATTAAACCTATCATTGATATACCTGATATACCTGGGGCCAGTGGGGGATATTGATATGATTGACAGGTGATTGACAGCTAATCTATTTCAGATATTCATGGATTATTACACCAATAGCTTACAGCTACAACTTGTCAACTAAATTCCTCACTCTGGGACAGTGAGCGAGTTCCTTTACTGAAACACTTATCAACTGTATTATACATATTCAAATGACCAATAGATTCCTATATTCAAAATAAAAAACTCATAAGCATTAAACAACCATCACATTTATGAACCATCTGAGATATAACCCTTTCAGCAGCACGCATAATTACATGAAATATGGTCTTAGTCATTCTTTTGGAATACTAAAATTGTTCATCTCTGAAACTCCTTTTATGGTCATAATACTTTTCAGTATTTCTGAGTTATTGAGGTGTCCATTCTTAACCTTTCACCTATATTGAAAGAAGACAGTGGCATAGCGAGATTTTTATTGATGGAGGCAATTTGAGAATACATCTAAAATGATTTTGGAAGTGAAAGTAGAATAAAAAATTTCATTTTTTATGGAATGGCCAAAAAAATTACTGTCTGAATACACCACTGAAAGAGGATGACAAGAGAAAATCTTAAACAATTAATAAATAAAATAAAAGTATTTTAGAATAAGATGTCTAATCTGTCTGTCAAGATAATAATCTTACCAGACATATATTTTACCACCTTTATGTTACATAGTTTGTACTCGTGTCTACAGTTTGACATTAGTCAAATACCTAAACAGATAAAAAAACGATTCACTTTGTTTCCTCTTGTTTGAAGAATGTGAATAATTTTAAATAAGAGAAGATAATTAACATCAAATATATTTCATCACATTCTTTCCATTCTCTTTTAAAGACACCACTTTCTGAATTCTTCAAAAGTTTTTCAGTCTGTGTTGAGGTTCAATATCATATTTCAGGGAAGGGTTAAACTTCCTCAAATGTTTGTGATTGCCAGTAATCCAGAAGTCCTCAATGGAGTGGTCGAATAGTATCTAACAATCAAAAGAATGTCAACATTTTTTAGACATTACCAATTAAATTTTTGCTGAATTTTTTATTTTATTTACAAGTCTAATGATAGAAATATTCTGGTCTCTATTGCAGTGGCGGAGCCGTCCCCCCTAACAGCCCAGATGGCATGTTTTTCGGGCAAAAAACCTAGGTTAGAAATTCAGGAAACCTCAGGTATTGGGCCCCCCCCACCCCAACGTGGATGTCAACCTGGCTCCTCCACTGCTCTTTTGGCATAAGTCTTTGATGGAGTGGTTGAAATAGAATATTTTTTTTCATGTAGGATTTGACATTGAATCCCTTTTCTAACATATTTGGTATTTCACCTACATTGTAATAACATTCTTATTTTCATATTTTAAGTGGTTACTTTGTTTTTTAAAATTTTGCAACAAAAAAAACAACAAAAAACTGGGGTATGATCTCATCTACAACAATTTCCAAAAGTGTAAAAAAAAGGAATTACTTTATAAAAACAAAACTGGACCTACCTAGTAACAGTATTTTTATCACATTTGAATCTTGTTTAGCCCATGTCTGTAGATTTTTATCTATGACATCACTCCGGGCTCGGGCCTTCAGTTCCTCTTGATCCAAACTAAAACACAGACCCATAGTCAGTTTCTAGCATGATGCAGCCAACACACTGCTATATTCCTTTGATCTTTGGTCAGGTAACTTTAGGTAATTTACAAGTAAAATCTCAATTCAAATAGTGACTTTCAAATCACAGGTAAATTGTAATTACAAATAAATTTCAATTCACTCCTCAAATAGTAATATCACCTCAATCTTTGCACAGGTAAATTTCAAATCACAGGTAAATTGAAAATTACAGGTAAATTCCAATTATCTTGCTACACAGGTAAATAACTTAAATCTTGGATCCAGTATACTTGATTCCATAAAAGTCAATTCCAAATTCCATACACACGTGTATCAATCTTCAAATCTAAGTAATTAAATTTCTTTAATATTTGCTGAGGTAAATCTGAAATTACAGGTAAATTTCAATTAGAAAGATGCACAGGTAAATTCGATTTTCTCTGCCTAGGTAATGTCTAAATTTAGGTAAATTGTGAAATTTGAGCACAGGTATATCTTTGATCTGAAAGGTAAAATTTAAAATACAGGTACATTTCAATTAGTTTAACACACAGGTAAATTAAATCAAAAATTCTGCTTGTGAAAAAATTTCTTTGATCTCACAGATAATTTCATTACAAATGAACTGAAGTTTGCAGGTAAACTAATAAAGCAGGTAATGATCATATATTAGGCTAAGGTAAAGTTCTATTTTTCCCTTTATCTTTCAACATCTAAAATCAATCAATAAACGATTTTCATTAACTTAATGACTCAAGTAAAACTCTTTACATGTTCAACATTTTAATTTAAATTCAAAAGAAGCAGGTCTAGAGTGTTCTTTGTTTAATATTTGTATTTACATCAAACAGGTCAAAATACCCTTGTTAGGAAAGTAGGTCCTAATCTTAAACTTTCTGTTGATTTACTAACTTTACCTAATACAGGTAGATAATCAGTCCTGTTCATTAACTTAAGGTATATCCCAGCTCATCCTGACTACAGGTAACAGCATTAACATAGAGGATTACAGGTAAACTCGTTAACTTAATTAATCCTAATTATAATATCTATATCCTTAATATCAACATTGTATCCTTGTATTTTATGTTTGTTCAGTAGTAAGAAACTATGAGTTCTGATTCCTCTTTCAGAAAAGTTGACTTTCCGATGCCACTGCCAGTGATTTTGAGAATAAAAATTCTCAAAAAAATTGGTTCAATTTCAAAGTTATATAAAATATTTTTTTTAAAAAATGCTTCATTGATGACATCAGAAATTTTTCTATCTAAAAGTAGAATTTCCATATGAAAAATTTCTGATTTGTCCACTAGACTCTATAGATGTCTTTTGAAGAGTAAAAATTCTTTCGATTCAAACTTGTAAACACAATAAATTCCTTTGAACAATAAAATATACTCAGGTATTCCAATCTGCTATTACTGTAATTACAATTTCTACTGGTGAGTTTTAATACAGGTGAAATCTTTAACTATTACAATGTATTTGAACACACCTTAAAGAAAATAAACTTTTAATCATGTAACTATATCAAAATTTTATCTTCAGACTCTTTTCACCCAAAATATTAAATTTATCTGAGTTATTGAACTTCTAGAATATATATCACAATATACAAACCACAACAAGAAAATATTTGGTAGATATCTTTACCTGTCATAGGTAACAATATAATATATCCAATTATTTAATCCAGATATTTGTAACTGAAATATTTTTTTTTTAATGACTGTAAACAAAGTTGCAAAGCACAATAGGAAAATTTTATAGATTATAGATATTCTTACATAATAGTGGTATTTGAGAATATGTAATTGTTGAATACAAACAGAACTTTTTAATCCAATATCTTGAAATTTCCAGAACTTTTTAATCCAATATCTTGAAATTTCCCCTGTCACATCAATCTACAACATCCTCACTATAGTCCAAGTAACAGTAAAGTTGAGTTGTAAAGGAGTAAAAATGTAAACAGTAAAAGTTGGCCAAGATCAATGTTTCTACTGAACGCGTCTCAGTTGGTCACAGAAATCTTGAGTGACAATCGCAGTCAATATAACAGTAAAATATCTGTACCTTTCATGAGCTATTTATCACAGGCTGATAATTACAGGTCGGTAGAGGTTATTACCTGCACAGGTGTGTCAATAATGCATTTGACTTGAGAGCTTAACGTTATTTATAATTGTTCAGTCGGAGGTAAAAACTATTTGAACAATACAACACATTTTGGTGATATTTTAATGCTAAACATTAAGTTTAGACCTACATTTTAATTATAAACCTATTCCTTAAAGCTTTCTGGCTTCCAAATTGGTTCTGCCAAGAGAAGATCCTAGAAAGATTTTATTTGAATGATATGCACTTTTGTATATACTGTCTTGCGAACTTTGGAAACTTTAGGGTCATATGCGTAAAATTTGTTGGGTGGGTGTGGTCTGATAGGGTTCGAGCAACTGTTGGATTAGAAAAGTTCCGGTTAAGATAATATGTAATTTATCATAGCTGAGCAAAAACTTCAAAGGTGTATTTTAGTTGTCTCTTAATTGTAAGATTAAAGCTCCTAGCTTGAATTGTTTAAATATTTAGCCTAAAGGATAATCAGTTCTAGTGGTAGGCTTCATGTGGAATCATAGTGTCACAAAAGGGTTAGCAGGGCCTGCCTCAAAGCAACTGCATCTGTTAAACCTTCAGATGTGACTTAAAACTGTCCTCTACCGGCCTGTATTTACTACGGCAATACAATATACTATACAGGTAAAACGAATAATATAGGTAAGTAGGCGGGGCGCGTGCAATAAACATTCACATTTCAATATACAATAGTATAGTCATCTGAATAAGATTTGTGATAAACTGGTGTCGCACGACTCATCATTAGTAGTAAAAACCATAAATTGATAGGCCCACACCTGTCAATGTTGGAAAACTTGACATAAGGCAAGGTCACCTGCGTTTCATTCTCAAGTGATATCTAAAATTTAATTTATTCCGTAAATTATTCGAGTGTTGATAAAATGAATAAATATCGTGATAAAATGTATGTCTTACATAATTCTAGGTTTGTGCTTGTCAAAACTTTTTTGGAAGCGAACACAAGCAAATCATCTCTAAAGCTATCACATTTTGTGGTAAAAGTTTCATTAGAGATTTTTAAAAATTACACAAATTCGGCACCAGTCTTGTCGCATAAAGTCTATCATTAGCATACATCTTGAAGCGTTCAGGCAAAGTGAAACATATGTGGTCCGTAGTTAAATATTCTGAATGGATTACTTCCCATCTTATTCTAAACTTTTCAACTTACTGTAGTCTGAAGTAATTAAGGTTTATTCCCCTTTATCGATTCTTCTGTTACGGAGGTAGAAACGTTATGTAAACGGCGGGAAATTCTGTCAAAATATAACAATATTATAACTACATTTAATTTATTACCAATAGATCTAAACAAACCAAGAAGATCCGATTTTGAAATTTTTTGCAGTAAAATCGAGCATTCTCATTTGCTTCTATATAATTCTGTCTTTGACAAAGCTTGTCATTAGCTGTCTTAGTCAGTGGTCTTGCTTAAATGGTTGAATCGCAGCTTACGGTCTACATTATAATTATATAATATATGCAAGGAGAGGGGGATGGGCAACTACAGCAAGAGACATTCTCCATGGGGGATAGGGAATAAGCAAGGAGCCAAGATTGTCTTAATTCTGGGGCATCCCTAACGTCAAGAGATCTGCACATGCTGGACATAACTTGACTTGACAAAATGACATGAAGTTGATAGCATACATTTGAAATGCTTAAAAAAAGGGCATGTTAAAAGGAACTTTTTAGGAGCCAATTGAGCGTCCGTCTCTAATTCACATATTCATTTATTCATATCAGAGTTGATGGTCCATGCAGTCCCTTTATACCAACTCTATTTCACTCTATGTGAGAGACTGTTTTATCTATTTTGTCTATTTAGTAATTGTTTCAGAAACCAACATGGAGAAAAGTGAAGAAGAAAAGTTGTTTCTTGCCAGATTCCAAAGTTTGAAATTTGATAAGAATCTTGAAAATGGAACACCATCTGAAAAGGCAGACATTCTGAGAAATATAATTGTTCATTTGAATTTAGCTCCTCATCATAAAATGTAGGTTCAGATTTTGAATTTATAATATAAGAAGATAGGACATTAAACCAAGTACACTTGTTCCACAGGCTGTACACATTAAAGATCTATAGTCGGATAAAAAATCCCACTCTCATGGCAAGGTTCCCCTCATGGCATACTGTATGGTGTTGCCTCTCTGCAAACTGGAGCATAAAAGTAGGATGTAAAACTCTATGCCATTATATTTTATCTACTGTAATTACTTCATCACAGTGGGATTGACAAGCAAAAGAGGGCAAAAATAACTAGAGGCTTTTCAGCCCCTGTGTAGGCTACTACTTACATATAATATAACAAATGTGTTAAATTTCAGAGTTTCTGATGTAACAAGTAATCAGATGAAGGAAGAATATGTCAAAAAATATCAGTCAATTGTGGATTGTTTTGATGAAAGTAAAGGTAATTTCATTTTGGACATGTCAGCTGTTTTGAGCTAAAAGAAAGGAGGCCTCTGCCATTCTGCACCCATTTTGCACCCATTTTGGAGATTTCATATAGCTAATTAGACTTATTTGGTATTTAATTAGCAGATGTGAATGTTGGTATTTGATTAATATAAGCACTTGAGAAGATGATGAACCAATCAAAAATTTAACTTTCCATAGCTGATAGAGTTTCAGTTCCTAACCCTGATTCATTTCATGGTCTATCTTTTTCAGGTTTAAATAATTTTGCTGCTGGAGCATTGGCTCTATGTACTGGAAAGAAAAATGGTAAAAGATGAATATTTACGTACATTCTTCTTTAGGAAGTGCAGTGGCGTGGAGTGAATTAGTCATATCATACTGGCTAACTTGAATTAGAGACATTTCCCATATTTGGCTGAGATTGTATCTCATATTGCCTTACAACTATGGTCCTACCAAGTTTCTCTTACGTAATATATAGATTTATCATGCCTTGAAGAAAACTGGGTTGGGTCTGACTAAAACTATGATATTGTTTTATTGCAGAGAGTCAGTTATGGAAATCAAGTTTAGATTTAGATACACTGAAGAAGGCGGCTTATTTTCAAGAATATATTGAAAGGTGTAAGGTTGGTATTCTTACATTACCAATATCATCTAGGTATCCAACAGACATGTGTTGTTTTGAAATCTGACAGAGCATAGTCAGATATGAAAATTTGATGATTGCTATCCCAATACATATGTTTATAAGTATTTTGAAATTGTTCTTTGTCTGATCTTTGAAATGTTTTGTTTCAGTCAAAATCAAGTTTGAAAGATAGTTCAGAGCCATTGTTTAGACCCAGAAAGACAAAATTTGTGCCAGATGTTGTTACTAATAAAGAATCCGAAAAACCAAAACTTGGTCTGCCTTCATATTTTACTGGTGCAGGAAAGAATACAAAAGTTTCGAACTCAACAGCGCTATCATCACATCACCCTGATGTCAATCGGAATACAACCATATCATCAAATTCCACAGGACCATCTCTCTTTAATGTTTCTGCAAACTCAAAAGGATATATGGCAAATTCTGCTTCAAACAATGCTACATATGATAATGTTCCTCATGGAGCTTCAAAACCTGGTCAAGCAGGCTTCAACTCAAGTGGTGGACAACAAAATGTAATTCCAAATAGGCACCAAAATTTTGTCTCTGAAAATACTGGAAATAAGCCTTTCCAAAATCAAATCACCAACCGTCCTAACCCAGTTACAGTGTATGGGAATCCCACAAACACTGGCCGGGGATACAATACTGAAGGTCAGTGTGGTTCAAGACCATCTCAATATGAACAAAAGAAGTCTCTATTTAGCGGTGAGTAGAATAGTCAAGAAATATACTTTGGGATAAGGGGGACTTTGAAAAGGTTTCTTTTGGTATGGTTTGGGTAGTGGTACAATAGTTTAGGTCCTTGACTGGTAGGTTGAATTGGTCAGTGGTCTGTTCAGTTTGGAAGAAATATTAACAATTTTCTGTAATCAGCATTTGAAATAGGTTGGTTTGGTATATCACATCAGTTGAGTGTGATTAAGATATTACTAACTTCATTTTAACCCAATTGTCTTTTCTCTAGAGAACAGTAGAGGTAGTCATAAAGAAAATTATGGAGGCAGCTGGAATCAAAGAAGGAAAGAGGTACAGAGTTTCTTTACAATCTGAGCACGAATATGTCTTAAGTGATATACTGTCTTGATTCTATCAACTGATCTTGACATCCTCCAGGTGTCACGTGCCCACCCAAATAGTAGGAAAAATACAGCATACACTTAGAGGCTAATGATTATTTAGCCTAGGAATTCTAAAAGCACACACAGCTCCTCATCTCCTTTCATGTAGGAGATTACACATTATTATGTAATTAATGTTTTTTTTTTCAGTGGAAGAAAAGACAGAGAGGGGAGATGGAAGATGAAGAAGAAGAGGAAGATGAAATCCCGCAGAAACCTCCTTCTGGTCCTTTTAAAACTGCTAGAGATCAACTGGTTTGTTTAAATTTTTTTTTTTATAAGTCTAATAATTAGTAATTAGTAAATATATCAAAGGGAGTTGAAAAATCCAGTTGTAGAGTGTCATCAAATGATGACTTATGCCTATGGAAGCCAAGGAATGCCATTCTATAGCGGCCTTTTTGATCAAATGTAATAAGTAAAAAGATTTGAAATAATTCTAGGCGATAGATCAAAGTAAGAAATATGGTGGAGGTAACAGAGGTCAACCACAAGGTCAAATATCTAATACAGCCTATGGTGGAGTGAAAAAATCTCTTGGAACCAGGTCTGTTTTTTGTTTACCCCTTTCCCAGGAACTGTAAAGTTTTATGTGGCTAATTGGAAAATGTGAATTCAATGAATCCAAATAGAGCTGTAATAAACTATAAATGTGCTGGCAGTGACTTGTGTTTGTGATCATTAATGTAGTTTCAACTCAACCCAATAATGTATTGTGGGATTTTGATTAAAAAATAGTGTCCTAGTGACAAGTTGTGTTCCTCCATTGAAGGATATCAAGATCTATCTGCTTCAGGATTTTTCAAACAAGTTTTTAACATTTCAGGAGAGGACCCAGCAGTAAATTTATTCCACCAGTCATCAGTAGGGATGAAGATGGGTAAGTTCTGTTATTTTCTTGGGTTGGGTGTAAGAAACAAAAGGGGATCCTGTCTACCAGTTGGTCTTTGCCAAGAAAGCAGGAAACAGGGATCCTATTTACCAGTTGGTCGTTGCCATGACTTTGGCCTAGGAGAGTAGAAAAGGAACTGATGAAGTTTCTGTTTATTCTATTTTTAGGTGTATGGTAAAACCTGACAATAAAGCTGGTAATGATGATACTGAAGAACCAGTGGATGAAAGATTGAAAGGAATTGATCCCAAGATGATTGAGCTGATTAATAATGAGGTATGATATCTTTTTTCAAAATAAAGACTCTCAGAAATTATCTAAGTGATTTACCAGCTTAGCCAGGTTGTATGGTTGAAAGTTAAGGATTTGATTTTCTTTTTAAAAAATGTACCAGTATTACAATTTTAGGACTTAAGTCTTTTAATTTTATTTTCTTTTGAATAGATCATGGATCATGGACCAAAGCTCACCTGGGATGATGTGGCTGGTTTGGAATTTGCCAAGAAAACTATAAAAGAGATTGTAGTGTGGCCAATGCTCAGACCGTAGGTATATTTTGATAGATTGAAATCTCCTAAGGGATAAGACGGCTGATAATTTCAATTATGGTCTACTCTGCATCTCAAAGAACCTATTTAGTCCATAATTCTTACTTTGTATACTTAGTATATTTGATATCCCCATTCTAGTGACCACTTAACTAATAATGTTTGCCATTTTGTGTCTGGTTTTGTTATGTCTGCAATTTTTTCAGAGAGTCAGCATATAGGAAGACTGAACATCATCCACTAGCAACTACATTAATACTAAAACTTGATTTTAATGGTGAAATTTTGAATTTTATTCCAGAGATATATTTACTGGGTTAAGAGGTCCACCTAAAGGTTTGTTACTATTTGGTCCACCAGGAACAGGCAAGACCTTGATTGGTAAGTAGGCTTTGATGAAACTAAAATATTAATGAAACATGCATCTCAATGGCCTTCTCTAAATAAATATATATATCTGAAAATAAAGTTTAAAGAGATTTATCTGTGGTATCTTGATGGTAGCTTTCATGTCCAAAAAATAAGCATAAAAATCAGAAACAGTGAGAATAGTCTAAAGTGATATCTTATTAAAATATATTTTATGTTAATATTGTAGGTAAATGTATAGCAAGTCAGTCTAAATCAACATTTTTCTGTATCAGTGCCTCTTCTTTAACTTCTAAATGGGTAAGTTAATGGATTAGTCTTCCCATTGCTTTTTAACACCCACTTTGTAATGTGCAGATAAATTATCATCAGAGCTGAAATGATTAAATCACTGTTGGTGAATCTCGGTTATTTATATGTTCCATAACACATATTTTCCAGAGGTAAAAGCTCATTTTTTTGGCTGATACAAAACACCAAGAAGACATGCAGCACATATAGAATTTAACGGAGTTATTGTCATAATCTATTTGTAAAACTAATTAGTTTATAAGATTTATTGTGAAGCAAGCTATCTAGGAATGTTCTGTATGATTATTGATAGTACTTCAATAACATTTAGGCCATACAAAATAAATATTCTGTTTTACAGGCTTTTTTTTTCAAAAATTGGGGCGAGAGGGCAAATTTATTATTTATTAGCGTTTTTTTAGTTTTCAAACTGGAATAAATCGGAGCAAGCGAAAGCATTTATTATTTATTACCACAAATTTAAAATACTTTTAATATTAAGGCAGCAATCAGGCATTTTTGGGCCTGTGAAACAGATTATTTATTTTGTATGGCCTCATTGATATTTTTTAGGGGGTGTAGGTAGAAGGAGAAGAGAATATGATGTGAGCATTATGTATAAATTCTGATTAAGGATTATTGTGAAATAGGAAGCTATAATATAATTCTTAATAGTTATTTTGATGTGATATTTGTGTTATAGGTAGGAGAAGGTGAGAAGATGGTGAGAGCGTTGTTTGCTGTAGCGAGATGTAACCAGCCAGCTGTGATATTTATAGACGAAATTGATTCTCTCCTGTCTCAGAGATCTGACAATGAACACGAGGCGTCTCGTAGAATTAAAACAGAATTTCTCGTCCAGTTGGTAGGTGCTTGTCAGAATCACTCCCTAAAAATCCTAAAACTTAGCCAACCTACTCCATTAATTATGTCACCAATCTGCGTTTATTTTCTGTTGGCAGCAAGACCTTATGACAAACAATCCTGTAGGACTGGACATTTCTAACAATGTACCATGAATATTATTGTTATTATTATCAGTGGGTGTTTGAGAGGGTCTAAGCTGTTCTAAATGGAGAACAATATTCCATCACGAATCCTCTTGAAGTGATGTTTGTAGTAAATCATTTAATATGTGATCTATTTTCAGGATGGTGCTGCCACTGATTCTGAAGATAGAATACTAATTATTGGTGCAACAAACAGGTCTGTGTTTACAGAACTTCATATACATTCTTACTTTTTATCACACTTCTCATTTACTGCTGCTTCAAACATGTGGCAAAGTGACAGACTGTCATTAACAGTACTTCTTTTTTATTTTTATTCAATATTTTATTGCCTTAAGACTGTAAATTTATAATGAAATTTTTGTTTTTCAATCAAGGGATATGAAACCAGTAGATTTCATAATAGAACCATTTGAGTTAAAGTTCCAGTTCATACAGGTGCTTTAGAACTCAAATACATGTAGTTAGATAGTATATATTGGTTCTCCCCTTATTTATTCTTTATCTGAATAATGACGGAATTTAAATCTATTTATGATAGACCTCAAGAGATAGATGAAGCAGCACGTAGAAGGTTTGTAAAGAGATTGTATATACCTCTACCTGAAGATATAGCACGTCGACAAATAGTGGTCAATCTTCTAAAACAACAGAAACATCAACTTACAGACCAAGATTTAGATCTCATCTGTCACAAATCAGATGGTATGTAGTCTCTATTTTCTTATTGCAAATTTTCATATTAAGAAATTAATGGAGTTTTATGTCCAACTTTTCTGCATTATGTGGGCTAATGAAGACAGGCAAGGCCATTCAATATGCAATGTGGAAAATTTTGCCAGGTCAGCAGCATTAGCCCACTCTTTTCCAACTGTTGAGGGATTGTTAACGTGCACACCCTGTAACACACGGGGCCTCTGTACATGTTCATTCCATGTCATGATTGTGTTAGATGAGAAGATAGTCTCATGAAAGCACTGGTCTAGGTCACAAAGTAAAGATTTATGATAAACAAGTTGCAAGTTAAAGGTTAAGATAATTAGATATGTTAACTAAGGATGTCTCTGTAATACTATCTGTGGTAGTATCTAAGGTTAAGATAATTAGATATGTTAACTAAGGATGTCTCTGTAATACTATCTGAGGTAGTATCTAAGGTTAAGATAATTAGATATGTTAACTAAGGATGTCTCTGTAATACTATCTGTGGTAGTATCATTTCTTTAGCTGAAATAGCTGAAAATATAAGAGTCAAACGTTCTTCTGATATATCAATAATCATTATAAGTGTTGGACTACCCAACATCTGGCCTTTGATCAAGGTCTATGAGATTCATTGAAACAAGATATCATAAACTTACCCAGGGGTTAAAGAGTTTAATGTAATGTACTATTATTGGTTTATTTCTGTAGGCTATTCTGGAAGTGACATGGCTAATTTATGTCGTGAAGCAGCTTTAGGTCCTATTAGAAGTATCCCGTTCGATCAGATAGAAACCATAACAAATGATGAGGTAGGTAGCACAGAAATATAGAAAATATTAACACAAATTCTATTGACATGGGGCAGCTTAAAATCTTTGGCTGTAGCATTTAAATTTTCTTGCCTGCAGCCTGGGCCCTGGGGATTTAGGGACCTTAAGTAGTGGATAGCTCACTAGGTGACGAGTTCTTATTTAAGGAATTCTGCTAATAAAACAAAGTACATTTTAATGATCAACCTTGCAAACTGGAATATTATGATGTTAGAAATGCATAGCATGAGTAAATGATGAAATTTGTGGTATATTTTATTTTTTAGGTTCGGGCCATAATTTTAGAAGATTTTTTGGAATCATTGACTCAAGTTCGAGCCAGTGTATCAATTAAAGATCTTGATTTATATATAGAATGGAATCAATTATATGGTAGTTTTGGGAAATAAAACTTTATTGAAAATTAGATATGATTTTATGTTGATTAATTAGATAGTCCTCAGAGCCAAATACTTTCTCTTCTATCCTGACCCAGTGGATAGGCTCCTGCTCAATTACCTGCAGGTCCTCTGTATGGCATCAGTTATGGAATGACTTTGTTTCAGTGGGGGAAAAAAGTGGCATTATGTGCTATGATCTTCTCAATTGAAAATAGAAACATAGAAGGCTAAAAGCTAAAGCTATTGTCCACTGACCAGACAATATTTCACTCATTGAACACTGCTTGGTGTCGCCTATCTTCCTAAGCTTCATCAGATGGGGAAATCCCACATATCTGATAGAACTTATATAAGCTTAGATATTTGATTTTGAGTGAAGTTGGCAGATGTGTTTCAGATGAAGTCATGCTTTAAGAGATTAGTTTGAGTTTAAGGGTAGTCCTAAAGATTTCAGGACTAAGTTTTACATGCAAGAATAATAGGGCTACAAATTTGGTGCATCCTTGAGAAAATTTGTTGACATCAATCTGTTTTCTAGTTAGAAACAATCTTTCGTATGACACATTGACATCATGAAATAAAATTTAGACCAGAGAAAGGCTGCATACTCTTAAAACTTTTGCACTCTACTTTTTTTATTTTGGGAATGAACGTATAACATACAAGTATTGTGGGCTGTAGCATATAAATGTAAAATGAGGTTGTCTCCCTTAGACCAGTATTTTATGAGAACCGCTTCACTGTAACCATCAAAAAATAGTTCTAATTCGTTCAGAAACTTTCCAGCATTTTTTAAACAATATAAATGCTTTTTTTCGTTTTCATTTGAAATAAAATTCGTCAATTTTAATTCATTGTTCCCACAGAAAGTCTATTCACCAATATTTCCATTTTGGATAGGCCGAGTTTTTAGCGTACAGATTTTAGTCATGCGCATTTCAACTTAGGTCTTTTCACGTGGGTTCGTCCTAGCGGTATGTAGTGTTCCTCGGCAGCTCTAAAAAATAAACCATTAATTTTCCCCCTGATCGTTTATACGATTCAATTTGAATAGAATAAATAAAAGGTTTCCCTGGACTGAATTCTTATATCTTGGGCCTTGATTAGGCTACCGTACATCATTACATGTAATGTCAGAATGAAGCATGGCCAGCCATGTGGCATGATGATCAGAAACATGGCAATATTCATTTGCAACTCGTACTTGTTCCAATAAACCTTTGGTTTAGAAATCATCTATCATCTTGATGTTTGATTAAACTCCGTGGCCAAGATAAAGCCCAGTCAGTCTTGTCTTGCAAATAACCATGGGAGAAATCTTCAGCCCTATGCTATTGGTTGAAGAAGGGTTTTGGATTCAGATGAATTAAAAAAAAATTCATTAATTAACAAGACTCAGATTACTCTTAAGGACCATTTTAGGGAAATTTTCATGTCCGTTGCTGATGGTAATTAAGCAATAATGATGTATAAATTTCCACTTTTACAGACTAAATCAAGATGGGTCGTATTCCTAGAGTCCAGAGTAAAACTTACGCCACCCCAAGACGTCCTTTTGAGAAGGAACGATTGGATCAAGAATTGAAGATAATTGGTGAATATGGTTTAAGAAACAAGAGAGAAGTATGGCGTGTAAAATATACCCTCGGTAAAATCCGAAAGGCTGCTCGAGAATTGTTGACACGAGAAGAAAAAGACCCAAAACGTCTCTTCGAAGGTGAGGAAATACAAATATACAATCAACCATAAAAACAAAATAGAAAAAATTCAATTCCGAGCCCACTGTGGTTGTAGAGTAGGTCTTGTGAATTGACAAAGCAAAGTGTTTTTTGAAAGAGGTGAAATTTTTTGTGTGATCCTTTCTAATGATCTTGCATTTTCCTATGTGTTGATGCACACTGGTCATTAATGATTTATGTTGAGCTAAATTTTGAAATTGAAATTTGTCTATTTTTAGGTAATGCCTTGTTGAGACGGTTAATCCGAATTGGTGTCCTTGATGAATCCAAGATGAAACTGGATTATGTTCTGGGTTTAAGATTGGAAGATTTCTTAGAAAGAAGACTCCAGACCCAAGTATTTAAACTGGGTTTGGCCAAGAGTATCCATCATGCTCGTGTCCTCATCAGACAAAGACATATTCGGTAGGTACACATAATTGTTATAGAGTTTGACAAAACTTATCCTTTGGAGGCATGGGTTAGCTTATATGAGCTTCAGTGCTGACATTTTATGCAGGAAACCAAATTTAGATTTGTGTCAAAGTTAATTTTTCAGTATTTTTCTAGCAGGATAATAAATTTATTATTATCATTCAGAAAATTGTAGCATTTCTGCTTGGAACAATTTGGTATTCCAACTTTATTTTTCTGGGAGAATTAAGCACAGCTTGTGTTCATAGTCTTGATACAGTTAATCCAGAAGTTAAATCTTTATATCTATAATGGACTGTCTCTAGATTCCAACCTTCATAATATTCCTTTAATCTTCAGCAAGGATTTTATATAAAACACTCTAGTCCACTGAAACTAAGTTTTACGACTAAGAGTACGGACAAGGGTAATCTTAGGACTACAGGGTTATATTTATGGTGAAAGCTGGTTGAACTTGGATGGGAAATGAAACAAAATACATCCTGATCCAATTTGACTAATGTCATACGATCATGGATTTGTGGATTCCATTAAAACAACCAAAATTTCATCATGGGCCACTTTGACTATTGTCATATGTCCACGTTTGTCCATTATTTTGTTAACAAAGGTATGTCTTGTCAATGTACCGAGGTGTAGAAATTCAAAATTACTTTCTGTCACAAAAGGAGAAAGTCTTGTTCAGTAAGCATGGAATAAGATGGTCTGTGTTTCTCTTTTACTATGCTTCATGGGAAATGTTACTGTGTTTTGGTGCCATTGTGATCACTGATTGATGCCTTGAAAAGGTATCTGCTTATACATAGGAAATCACTGAGTGTAATATCGATGTATTTAAATCCTGGAATATAAAATTGGTGTCAAAACAATTCATAAAATGTTTGCTTATTTCAATATTTCAGAGTACGAAAACAAGTGGTGAATATCCCAAGTTATATTGTACGATTAGATTCACAGAAACACATTGACTTCTCTCTTCGATCACCATATGGTGGTGGCAGACCAGGTATGTCCAGATTTCTTTATTAAGTAAACGCCTTTCAATATTCACAAGCAGACACAACTGGTCATCTCTATAGTGTAATAGCACCTTGAGATAAGAGTACAGACTAATGCAGTGTTTAACAGTTAAAGAGACTTCATGATGTGATTGTATTTTCAGGTCGTGTAAAGAGACAGAATATGAAGAGAGCCGAGGCTGGAGGAGGTGGAGATGAGGAAGAGGAGGACTAATTTACACGCCCCCAAATCTTCAAAATAAATAAATTCTAAAAATATATTGTCTTTATTTTGACCCAAGTAGAACTTTTGCAACTATTTAGGTGAATGCAAATGTCTTTTGAGATGGTACGGTGAGGGGGGGAGATTAGTATACTGTGTTCTCGTTGTCTGAAGGGGTATATTGTTTGAACTAAAGAGAATTGTACAAGGGATACATTAAACAGAGAATGACTCTTGTACTCACAGGATAGCAGTGAACTGTAATAAATAATACTGAATTGAAGTCTGATGGGAAATTCACTTCCGTTAAGTCAGAGCATTCATTTGGATCTCATTCTGTCTTGACTGTATATTACTGAAAAGTTGAAATATGTGAAGCCATTATCTCCACCTTTGCACGGATTGGACCTTTCAGATTTGGGAGAAGTGTCTTACTTATTGAGCCACTTCGGCTCCTAGTTGCATAAAAGAATACAATTTTGTTTATTAATTTATTAATTAGAAACAAAATGTTAAAATAATATCTTCTGGCATTTAATAAAAACCTACTAAGAAGTCAATGGCTCCAGTCTGCCACATACTGTATATTTGTGTGCACATTACCCTTAAAAACGTTTGAAAAAACAGGGGGGAGAGCATGTGACGTTAACACTAAATCTATTAATTCAAACACCGGGAAGATTTACGACCCTGGTTATCAATAACCTGATTCATACTATAATACTACAATAAACTACTGAATATCAACATGGTAATGACTTCTTATCGGGTTCCACAAAACTGAAAATACAAAATATATCTGATATAAATTTGAATTCTCATTAAAGACAGTTCAGAGGTTTCAGCTTCCTCCTGTGATCAGGATCTCAGGGTCCCTCATTAAGAAAAAAAAATTTTGTCATAATTTTGTATTCCTCAATTTAAATTTCCACACATACAAAATTCATTAAAAGTGTCTATCTATACAAAATATTCTTATATGATTTTTGAGGAACTGGGTCCCATAAATCTTAACAATCACATCTATTGCATCGCAATCCAACACTTGGGACAGATTCGCCTGTTAGTCCCCCTTGACAGTTCTCTGCCTCTTCTTGAAACCCTGCCCTCCCCCAGCTTATTCAAACATAGAAACTCCACTGTAATTTACCGTAATCTAGCCTCACTATTGGCTAATGTTTCTTTACTATAATACTGAAACAATAAACTGTTGTCCAGTAAATGTTGATTTTGACGGAGAAAATCATCGAACGAAACGTCACTGGTAACCTTATTGATGGCGTCTGTTACCAAGTGAATAAAAAACATGGTGATGGTTTCGTGATAGCCTGTTTGTATCTGAAATAATTAACATAAACATCAATATAATATCAATAGGTATCTTATAAAATATAATAATATAATAATTATAAAATATAATAATATAATAATTATAAAATATAATCATTATTATAATATAATAATTATAAAATATAATCATATAATATAATAATTATAAAATATAATAATTATAAAATATAATAATATAATATAATAATAATATAATATAATAATAATATAATATAATATAATATAATATAATATAATATAATATAATATAATATAATATAATATAATATAATATAATAATTATAAAATATAATCATATAATATAATAATTATAAAATATAATAATTATAAAATATAATAATATAATATAATAATAATATAATATAATAATAATATAATATAATATAATATAATAATTATAAAATATAATCATATAATATAATAATTATAAAATATAATAATATAATATAATAATTATAAAATATAATAATATAATATAATAATTATAAAATATAATAATTATAAAATATAATAATATAATATAATAATTATAAAATATAATAATATAATATAATAATTATAAAATATAATAATATAATATAATAATTATAAAATATATAATACTTTTATTTATTTCTGTGGGTTATGAACATGTCTTCATTGTACCTGGATTAAAGTAACCCACAAGCAAAAAACAGAAACAAAATATTCAGGGATTGAATCCTCAGGTAAAGATTTGGTGTAAAATTTTGACGAACAATATTCAATGATAAAACTCATACCTTATCCTTGTTCTTTTCATTATATTTCTGAATTCCTAGTCTACAATATACAAACAATTCTTAAATACCTCCTAAAATAGTCGTCTGACATGATCTTACTGAAGTTGTGTGGGTATTGAAATTTTTCCATTTAAAGACCAAGCATTAGCTATTAGGGCCACTTTGTCAATTTGTTTCTAATAAAACAGTATATCTTTCAAATCATGAGATGAGGCAATTTGAGGAATCTTTCATAATCAAATGTTCAGTTGTATATCTTTATTTATTAAGAGGAAGAAGGAGCAGCAGGTTCTTTACTCACTTGATATAAGGTGTAGCTTGATCTCTACCATATTGTTTGATGTAGTTCCACGCCATACGAAGATGAGCTTCATGAGTCCAGTCTTCAAATGGTAGAGTAGCATCTTCAAACGCTTGTAGAAATACCTGATCACCTACAGAACGGAATGACCTGAAATAAAATCAGGAAAGTTACTGCAATAATCACAGTGGATGTCATATGGATGATACTTGGGAGATCAGAGAAGCCCTGATGGTCAACTCATTATACATATATCAGACATGTCATGCTGATGTAAAACTGAATTTGTCCATACTAAATAAGATCTAGCTAATTGGAATTTTAACAATAATGGAAGAAGAAGCGGTCTATGTTGAATACCTACCTCACAAAGTATAGCAATGGATCTTGTAGATCATGAGAGACACTGGCATTCTGTATATTACCATAATAAACCTGATGATCCCCTACTGTATGTATAGAATGAGTAGTACACAGTAATACAGCTAGAGACCCCATTATTATAGGTAATCCCTGAAATAAAACCAGTAGCTATTCTAATATTCCCCTTCATTTTCTTAACATTAAAGTTTGTATGACACAGCTTTTAAATCTGAATGCTATGTTCATAATGATGTGTTCTAATTTCTAATGATATTTAACCAATAACATGTTCACAACCTTTGTCCATGAAGTGTGTTGAATAATGAGAAAGTCTGTTGTTAATGTTGACTAGTTGAAAGCAAGTGTCAATCTTTCACCGCTACATAAAAACATTCTCACCTTTTCTCCCTGTACATGAGGTACACTTTCGAATTGACACGAATCACTGGCCCAGGATTTAGCAAAATGTAAACATTGATGTATCTAGAAAACAACATTGACATTGTAGACAATATAGAAATTCAGGGTTGTTGGGTATAACATTGTTCAGAACAGCTCTGAGCTTTTAATACCTTAGCTATCTATAATTTTGAGACAATTCCTACCTCAGGAATCCTAATCCTGAAAACTTCAACAATGTTTCTTCCATTCTAAATACCCTATGACAGAAGCAATATAAACTGTTTCAACTGTAAATCTAATTGAAAATGTAGGTAAGATACCTAGAAAAACTATTGGCAAATGGAGATTGATCACACCTTGCAGTGTGCAATGATGGAAATTGTTCTGTAAGAAAGGAAATAGAAACAAGTACCTGGTCTTGAGCTAACACATGAACTGCAAATTTTTCATTTTCTTGTAAAATTTCATGGATTCGACTGAAACAAACTTTCAAGAATTAACATCAGTCTTTAAAATTATCACTCTTTAGTGTGTCAAGGGAGATAATTTATTCTGAAGTTCAACCTTTATCTGATTATCTCACCCTTAGTGTGCCAAGGGAGACAATTTGTAAAGTGTCAATTTAACTCTGAGAAGTCAGTATGACATCCTGTAGTGGTTTCAAAATATTTATTGAATAATGTCAGAAAAAAAGAAGAAAACTATGGTATATTATAGAATAAAGGGTTAATTCTCTTTCTGTTTTGCAAGAATATTAATTGAATATACTTTTCTTACCTTGGTGTATGAATACAGAATGATAAAATAGGTGGTTTGATAGAAACACTGGTAAAGGAACTACAAGTTATACCACGTTTTACCCATTTCCCATTTTTATCTTGTTTGGCTGTGGTTACTATAACAACTGAAAAATAGAATAGTTGTCTTATATCATTATGTATTATATCATTATATATATATATACCGGTATGTGTTATATCAGTCTAGAAATCTTTGTAAATGGTTAAAAAATACAGAAGAGTCTATGTACTGCTTGGCCAGTACTCAGTTGAATTGCTGCATAAAGAACCTGCTCCACAGGTTTCCCTCAAAAGTGATTTATCCACTCCAACCAATAATATTACAAATTACCTTGTTGTGGAACTTTTCTCATGGCTGACTGAAATAAAGTAATCAAATCTTCTTCATTTCCAGTATTTTTCTTTGGATCCAACAAAACATCAAAATTATCAGTTGCTGTAAGAATAAGGTTAGCTGATAAAGTTAATAACTAGCTCTATATTGAATCATAATTGACATTAGTTAAAAGTAATTATAAGTGTACTGTATACCTGTATTAGCTTTCTCTTTCTCTTGCTGTGATATTGCAATAATCATAATGATGTACACAGAATAAATAATATTAAGGTACAGTTCGATACGATTTGTGCTCAGGATAGATGGCACCTGCAACAACAACTTTGCAATATTTAGACTACCATTATTCATTTCATTAAGGTAAATATAGCCTACAGTTTGAATAAAACTCACCATTCATAGCACAACTGTTCGATCTGGTGGAACTAAAATTCCTAGTTTTAAATGTATGCCTACAGTCACAGGAGTGAATCCTGAGCCTTGAGTTTTTGTGGTCTGAATTTCTGCTTTCTGAGAATTTGTCTCCTCCACACACACCTAACTTTGTTGAAACTGATTTAAGATTATTCTGCATGGATTTCCATTCAGCCAAATTTCGTCTGAAGAACCTTGAGGAAATCATTGTTGATAAAAGATTGGTAATATAACAAGTTTAACAGATAAATAAACATAAGCAGACGAATTTTCTATTTTTTTTTAACTGTGTTTGAGGATATGAGGGATATCCTCAATGACGTCACCGGAAATAGGGAATTTCTAAAAAAAATGACGTAACGGAAGTAGGGAATTCCTGGGGATACCCTTCCCTAAACAAAAGTTAAAGCTCCTAAGAACATGCCATTAATAACGTTTCATCGCATGTTAATTGCAAATTTTGAAATCAGAAAAGTTTGTCAGCGGCATCTTCACTTATCCAAAACAGTCGAAAAATTGAAAGGAAAGGGCAAGTCTTCACAAGAATGGTTGAAACGGCAGGCCAGTGACCCATACGTTCAGAAAGCTTTGGATGAAAATTACCGATGTCGAAGTGCCTTCAAATTGATAGAAATAAATGATAAATATAAGATTTTACGTCCAGGACAAGTTGTCATCGATTGTGGGGCTGCACCAGGTTCTTGGTGTCAAGTTGCAGCACAGAAAGTTGCTAAACACAAGCAAGGTATGGTTTATTTTAGCTCAACAAAGGAGGATGGAATCCCCCAAACACCCACCAACCCCACAATACATGGAAATCGAATTCTGTGTTGTACTTTATGGGTTGATAAAAACAGACAAGACCTTAATTTGTTCATGGAAGTATGAGAAAGTCTTGTATAGATGGGTTCTTAATTAACCATCCCATCTAAATAACAGGCTGCTTTTCTCGAAATTCTATCACAAGTACAATGTCTTGTAGACTGTCACTATCTTAGTTTCCCAAGAAAGATTATTTAAGCAATACTTGATTATATTCAAGGTTATGATTTAAAAGCATTTCCTGTCTTTGTTTTTTAAATTTTGATGTTACAATTTGTTATTTACATTCTTCTTTTGCAGGAATTGGAACAGTAATAGGAATAGATCTCCAGAATTTTGAACCAATTGATGGTGTCCACGTTTTATCAGAATGTGATTTTACTCTACCAGAATCTCAATCTAAAATATTGGACATCTTGAATGGACAAAAGGCTGATGTGATTTTGAGTGACATGGCTCCAAATGCTTCTGGTATCAAATCCATGGACCATGATGTTATTATCGAACTGTGTCAAGCTGTGCTTCAATTTGGACTGTGGGTTTTAAAGCCAGGGGGAACAATTCTATGTAAATTGTGGATGGGAGCTAATCAGAAGAGTTTTGAGAATGATTTAAAATCAAATTTTGAATCAGTAAAAGTGGTGAAGCCTGCATCAAGTCGATCTGATTCTTCAGAAATATTTTTATTGGCCAGAAATTTTCAATTGATCACTTGGCCTGATATGTATAAGTGAATGAAAAGAGTACAGTTAACTGTGTAAGTACTGAGGTTTTACTATGCCTGAATGAAGAATAAATGTGGTTGAACTGGTTAATGGTAAAGAGAGTTGTTTACATGTTTTGTCCCATCTGATCCTTTTTGCCAATTTATACAGGTGAAACAGAGCATGCTTACTCTTTTTGAAATACCTGATGGAACTCCCCCATAGAGGAGTCCACTACTATACTCCTGATTTTGTCATTCTTAGGAATTTTTGATTGACAGAATTGTCTTGCTTGTACAGATTTTTCTGCACACATGCTAGGACTGCACCACAGACCTGAACTATGGAACTATACATTGCCATGTTAATGAACTAGCAGCTAACCGACTTACTGATTAACTATTGCATCTCAGTCTTGAAACAAAAATCTCAATATAAATAAGAATGTGAAAAAAATGAAGATAATTTGAAATAGATAACTCTAATATAACAATATTAAAGATTTTATTATGAAAAATAAATGCAACTTAAAGTAATATTAGGCATTGTTATAATGTTATATCACAATTTGTTATAATGGTTTAAAGCCAAGTCTAGATTATATTTTAGTATATTTGGTGCACACAACCCAAGCATTTTGAATCCTTGAAGGTGATTGATATCACCAAACATCAAATAATGTTATGGAAAGCTCAAATTTGTTGACATGAATTCTATAATTTCATAGAAAATTGCAATATCTACATATATCTCAATTCCTTTCAATTCATATTTCAGTAGATATTTATTGTAAGATTGTACATGTACATGTAAACAGGTGAGGAATAATATCTGGAGACGTCGGTAGAAAAATCTGGAGACTTCTTCAAAACATGTAATTTCATGAATTTCATTTTCCAAATTGCTCCTTTTTCCAATTTGAACAGAATATATAAAACTATACAACAAGTTTGTCATTGTCATTACAATTTGAATAAATTTGCATAAATTAGATATTTGTAACAAATAATAACATGGAATATTATAAACCTCTCAGAATATTAACAAAACAACAAGATATATTTATATGGAATTTAAAAATATACCAAAAATATTATAAATAAATAAATAGGTTTATATATTAATTGCAATTTCAATCAGCAGTGTTTGTTAGAATGGACATCATATTTATTATAAATTGAGCAATATATCAATATAAAACTTGACAAATAACAAATTGTCATGAGTTGGTATCACTTTTTGTAGTAAATGAGCAATAGTAAAGAAATATACACCAATTATTTATGAAAATACAAAATAACCCTTTAACCAATGTAAACATGGAATGATGTATAAATAACAATGAAATATTATGGATATGGTCATCTAATTATTTACTGTACATTGCCTTCTGAAAGCTCAATTTTAACTACTAATAAACATTTTCAGAAAAAATTACGTAAGCCTATTTAAGCCTATAAATAAACTATAAACATTTCAACTTGACCTCAAGTACATTTGATCAAAACCACTTTTTTGTTGACTTGAGCCAACTTCAAGTACTACCATACATTTTAAATACTCATATGCCCATTTTTACTTTATAAATTGAAATTCTTTATTCATTCAGGCTTCAAGATTGTGGTATTAAATTTGCTGATATTTCAAGGTATCACAGACATCAAATCACACTATAATGAATGTATAAGCATATGTGGATATCAAAACATGTATTATAGAGAATCATAGGGCTACCAGATACATGTAAAACTGATTTGTTACTACATAAGCCTATAAGTTTCATCATGAAGTTAAGATGAGATGAAGGGAAGAACAATTCAGAGAACTGCGAGAATGATTGACAGTTTAATATTGGCCAATCCTCTTCAAATGAAAGCGACAAAGAGTGTCATAGATATATATATATAAGTATCTGATAAAATGATATTGAGGTGTGCATGGGGAACTTGGAATGCAGATGAAAGCTTGTTTGTGGTGAATAACAACGGTAAGTGGGCGGAGCGTAAGCTGCTCTGGCAGATTCGTGACCCAATGACAGGATTTGTAAGGGGTGGGCAATGAAGTCTCTTTAACAAACTACAGTCTGGTATAAACAAGATGATAATGATGTATAAAATGATGCTGCCAGTATTTTGAGACGCTGCTGTGAGATCATTCTTAAGTAATTCTGGAGTTATTCATGCGTTATTGCCCCTGTTCCCTCTTTATTTACAGTGATCTCAACTTTTGGATTGTTGAATTTAAATTCCAGAGGATAGTCAATTTCTTTCTGAAAAACATAATTTCAAAAATATTTCAAGTTTGCTTTAAGGCTATCTGATTTCCCAAAGTTTTCCAAGAACTATTTTTAAGCCTATATTCCAATTCACATAAAAATAATAGAGTATAGATGTCTTAACAGACAAAATTATGTGTCATGGGCATTTTATATATCTTAAAATGATACGGTTCTGAAAATTGCAAATAAATATTATCAAAATATTAAAACTTACCTTTTTATTTGTATCTTCTGGTTGTAAAATTTCAAATTCTTTCGCCATCTCGTTGATAAAACTGGTGGTACAGAAAATCTGAAATGAGATCAAATACCATATCTGATTTTACTCAATTTAATTGAAACTAAATTAATACTATGCAGTTTTGATTCTGTGTAGATTTCAGAACCATGTTTAAAACTTGGAATTTGACAGGTGTTTTGTTTTGAAATCTTTACATCTCTTTCAGATTAGCTAATACTAAAAATTTGTCTTTGATATTCGAGTTAGTCAACAAAGTATTAAAGCAAAAGGGTATAAATAACTAATATTCTACGTGGAGTAAAGAAAGATATAGACCTCACCTGTAGATATGTGCCTTGCATTTTAATTGGATCTTTTTCTGTGACAAAAATTCCTTCTGTATCCTTCATATCAGCTGGTATTAAATGAATAGCTAGATTCTCTGCATTGTGGAATATAAAAAATAAATCTTTCTTTAAACGTGTTCTGAAAGAAAAAACATATGATATTGGAAATTGTTTTATTCATTGAATATCTTGACTGAAGGAAATCAAAATAGAGTTATCTTGAGCCACTTTACCAGTAAAATTTCGCTCATTACACCTAAGTCTCACATATAATGGCCTTGACCTTTCAAAGTGATTCACCCTTTTATGAGCACTCTCTAATACAAATAGAAGGCACAATTAAGCAAACAGTTTGATGCCTACCTTACAACCATGGGAAGTAACTCTGCAGCCCTTGCATCAAAATAAAGATGAACTGAGTCCAGATTAACTGGTACTGGTGTATCTTTATAAACTATGTCATTATATTCAGGGAATACAGGTGGGGTGTTCTCCGCCTCATCTCGACTGATATCTAGTTTCTCTAGGTAGGCCGATGTATTGATCATACTGAAATATTAACAGATTTTTGTCAAATGTTGCACAAAAACTTCCCTATATCTCAGCAATATTTGTAAGTTAGATTCTTCATTTTCGTCAAACACCGATTTCCAATGTTTCTTCAAGACCCGCCGGCCCGTCACCACCTGATTTCACACATAATCAGTAGATGGAATTTTATCACCAGGGCTCTTCATACAATAATCTCCCAAATAAAGTTTGCATGTGTATTCAATACTCATACAAAGACTAGAAAACAATCTTCACAATTCTTTTAAAATTGTTAAGTCAACTGAAGTAAGACAATACCTGTTATCTGTAAAACATTCAGACCATGAACACATGGCTGTCACATGACCTAAATTAGAGCCCTCCTTCTCTATGCCTTCAGTCACCATTTTCATCAGAGTGGGATCGTGATCAAAAATAGATTCCTTTCTATTTACATCTGTGATATAAAATGGACCTACTCTGAAGAATAAAAATAAGAGATTATAGCAAAGACATACATAGTAATTTTCAATTCAAGATAGGTTGATGAGAAAAAGAGAAAAAAAATCATTTTATCAGGATAACATCTCAGGTTCAAGAAGATCCTATCAACCAGCTTGTCCTAAGCTAAGCCTCTTAGAATTGACCCTTACTAGACTAACAGTACCCATTTATAACTGGGTTGACTGGGATTATGAGGAAAGATAACTTAATCAGTTCACCAGACTTTCACAAGTTAACTGAGATGACAACCACTTTTTCGATGTAATCACTTTGCAGCACCAACTTTTTTACCGAACCCCTCAATATGAAACTGATGACGAAACAGACTAGCATGGCCTGGCCTTTTCTAATACTAACTCTGGTAAATTTGGTAAGAGTGATAAAACTCCACTTCCTTTCCATTTCTGAGCTGTCTTCACCTCATCATCTGTTACTCCTACTATCTATATCAAACATATTTTCATTATTCAAACAATATTTCCTTTATGAGCTGTTTTGTGATATTGACATTATTTCTATAACTACAAGAACCAATAACAGCAGACAGAAAATTGAAATGATGCAAACAGAAGCCAATACACATAGAAAGTTCAAATAATCTCTTTACAATTGCCTCCAGATTTCAGAAGCCCAATCATCATGCGTGCAATTTCAACAGGAGGATAATAACAACCACAAAGTTTGAAAAGTGAAATAGGTCGCATATCAATCGTCCAAATTTCAGTGCAAAGTTGCTTAGGATTACAACAACCTTTCTAAATAAAAATATAGAATCTCACCTGTCTAAAATCTAGTACACCATGTTGTGTATCAAGATCTAATAATTGAGGATCCTCGGCAATCAAAATATGGGCAATACGAGATTCTGGATCACCATTCAATGAGTCCCATGGTATATGGTCACCAATATGTAAGACATTGCCTGAAATAAAGGACAAGATATTAATCACTTGACAGTCAAATAGATAAAACAAATTTGATTTACATTTAGTCAAAGTTATCATGGTTTAATCATCGTCATTTCACTTTTACTTTACTGTTCTCTGGTTATTTCATGTTCTTTCACAACTAAGCAAGTACATGTTTTAATTGAAACTGTACTTTCACTTAATACATACCAGTTTGAAACACATATCTAGCTAATCTATTCATTAAAGTTGAAGGCCACATTGGAGGTGTTTCTTCTTCAGGGTTCCTCTTTAGTCTAAAAGTCAGCTCGAAACCAAACCCACTAGCTTCTCCTCTCTTAGATTGTCTGAAATAAAAATATCAAGATCTTACTGGTACAAATCATCGGTTTACAGGTGTAAGCCTATTTAGACTATTTCATTTAATTTCCTTGTAGAAAAATAAGATTTAAATACTTTCCCCTACTATGAGTCAAAGTTATAAAGTTACAGATTTAGATTTTTTCAAATAGCAAAAACCCTAATTCATGAGGGTGTAAGAATTTTTGCATTAATAAATTGGTTACCCCCAAATATTAAGTTGTTTTGTTTCTTGCCCAACTGTAAAACTGTTGAAACAGTTCTTATATAGGGCTACAATTTAAGAAAGAAATATTTACCTATGTACTCTACCATCACCATGTAAATCACTGAAACCATAGCTGATGTAGTGCCAGTGGGGTGGAATATTTTTACTTAAATCACCTTCGTTACTGTACATACTGATATAATCTAACGGGTCTGGTCCACCCAACCTACAAAAATAATTTGACATCTTTGATAAATTATTTTCTTTTAAGTTTGACTGATTACATGAAACAGAAACAAAGAATGGTATAAAGTATTGATATTTGTACACTATGTTTTGTAAATTATTCCAATGCAAATTTATACAACCTTCATTTAGGTATTGAACCCACAGCACCTAATCGCCTAACGGTAACGGATGACAATCCAACTCACTACCGATCGAGCTATTCCACTGCCACGACTGCATTCCAACCCAGTGTTAGTGGGAAGTATTGACATTTACAAAGTTTGAAAGTTAACCTCTTTAAGGAGATATTCATATGGGATAGGCCCACCAAAAAATAACTTTCGAGCTTCTTTAAAATCAAATAAGGCTACCTTTTTGACAATATACACTAATATGTTTTTGGGTGGAGAAATTTCGAAACAATTGTATTTCAGGGGGAAAAAGATAGCCTCCACTAAAGCACTCCATCCTACTCTAATATAAAACTATAAAGTTGAAACTACTATGTCATAAGCTTACACACCCAAATGTCATAAAATGTAAACAAACCAAAATTTTATCATGGCAGAGGCTTGTAGAGGGTTTGGCTGGTCAGGGTAAATAATGCGACATGCTCTATCAATGGCATCGATACCAAAGTGGTCAAAAATATCCGCGTCATCATCGGAATCATATTCAAAAGCTTGTAAATTTTCAGTGGAATCTGAATTATTCTCTGCGGCAGCTTCTTCGCCTTCCATTTTTTGTTTACAACAGTTAACTCCCTTTGGTAAATATACTCTCCAATCTAAAGCAAGTTTAGAATGATATTCAATGTTATTTTATGAACAAGTAAAAGACGACATTTATTGAAGAAATTATTCATCCAATTTAATTATAATTTAGAGCTGAAGGCCAAAGTTTAGCTCAAAAAGATGTTTTCACAGTTTTCAAATTTAATGACATTTGTCTACTCAACATGGCGGAGTTCACGTTGGTTTTTTGGACGACAAATATTTTTTCTATGAAAACGACTGTTTATTAAGCTTATTTATCTTGACAACATGTCAGTCGACCCTCTACCAAGTCCATACGATGACGGAGAAAGTGATCCACAAGTTTGGCTGCTTCCAGTGAGCTTTAATGAAGCCCGACATACCGACAAAATAACTGGCTGCAGCACCTTGGCTCAGCATGCACAATCATGGAGGATGAAAGAACGGGTTTGTTTCCCTTGAATCGCTTTCTTATTCCCCTTCCGTATTCTCTGTGTTACTCTATGTCAGCTTTATTTCCCTAATCTACTTTATGCAGAAACAGGAAACAAATGTTTAACTCTTACTCATATTGCTGTAGAGTCAGAGGTCTACACCCACTTGTCTTATGTTTGATTCTTGAATGAAATTTGACAAGTGATCTTTTGGTATTAGCCTTTTATGCTACTATTTCACAACTTGCTATATGCACTATTGCAGTCTATGACATTGTAATGTGAAATGTCCCTGAGGGACCTTTTTATTTCATATGTTTTAAGTTTTTTTTATTTTCTATTTTAGATGAAGACTGTCAGTGTAGCTCTGGTTCTGTGCTTAAATGTGGGTGTGGACCCTCCAGATATTGTCAAGACTTCACCTTGTGCCAGACTTGAATGCTGGATTGGTATGTTGATAAAATCTTCCTGAATTTAAACATCCCTTGCCTAATGTTTCATGCTCTGCTGTTGAAAGTTGCATTTTCATTATAATTATGGCCTTTCTAACTTTGGAATTCGAGGGATGGTATTCAGGTTTTCAAACCTTTTATGAATATATCAGAGACACTAATAGCATCAATTTGCACCATTTAAATTTCCAGATGATAAAACTAAAAAGCCCTTGCATATTATTGGCAACTTTTCTAATAATGATGCCATATATGGATAAGCATTTCTATAATTACAGGAACAAAAAATTTGTTTAAGATCCCTGGACATTCCATCTCATTTCAGATCCTCTGTCAATGAATGGTCAGAAAGCTTTAGAGACAATTGGAGCTCAGCTACAGAAGCAATATGAAAGATGGCAGCCCAGAGCTCGATACAAACAAAGCTTAGATCCAACTGTAGATGAAGTTAAAAAATTATGCACATCTTTAAGGAGAAATGCTAAGGTATTTTGAATATTTGTTACTATTTTATTTACAGAATTAATCAAATGTGAATAGTTTTGAAATATAAAGGAAAAACTTTTCATTCAAACACATGAAGGTATCTTCCTCTCAGAATAAACATAACATTTAAACGCCATTTTTTTAAATGCTTTTTTTCAATCATTATTTAACACCTCGAATCAGACTTTAGTTCAAATCTAAAAGACAACAATTATTTTTAAGTTTTAGTAAAGTTAACATATGTTTGCCATTTTATGATGGTTGTATTTTACATCAAGAAAAAGAAATTGAATTTTTTTATATAAAATTTATGTGTTATGTAACTAGGAAGAAAGAGTGTTGTTTCATTATAATGGACATGGTGTACCCAGACCTACAGTCAATGGTGAAATCTGGGTCTTTAATAAGGTAAACATTGACTCTTATTAGATATTGAACTCTTCTGTAAATAGTTAATAGGTTGGAAGATGACAAATTAACGTTGCGCTTCCAGCGGATCTTGATATCGCAAACCAATAGTTGATACAAAAACAAGGGGCTTTATTCTCAAAAACTTTAGGTTAATTTAATGTTCCTGTCACCTGATTAGTTAATTCAAGGTTTTAATTCATTATCCAATCAGATTACTGAATTTCTTCAAGTCTGAATTAGTTAAATTTCTTTTCAAGAAAAAGGCCCCTAAACATGTAAATTTTAGAGTCTCATGTATCTCTTTGTTTTTTTGTTTTATGATCCCAAATCTGTTGACCTTTTTATTGACCTTTTGATAATTCATGGTCAATTTGGAGCCCATTTCAATTAAAAAGTTAGATGTGTAAGGAAATTGAAAGGAGACAAGATACCTTATGTTCTCTTAATTGATTTACTGTAATGATATAATAAAACTTTGATCTATATTTAAAAAAAAAATCTTTTTTTTTTTGGAGAACTATACACAATATATACCTCTATCAATATACGACTTACAAACCTGGATGGGCAGTCCTTCTATCTATGTGTACGACTGTTCTAATGCCATGATGATAGTGGATTCATTTAAACATTTCGCCACACAAAGAGAACAAGAAATGGAGGTAAGAAAATCTTATTATTAATATTTGTGTGTATAGTGCTTGTATTATTTATACTTAAAGGGGCTTGTCAAACTTAGAGTGCACATTATAGACAGTGACAGAAAAATTAGGACTTTTTACCCAGATGTTCCCTAGTCAATGCAATTCTTTGACCGAAATGAAAAAAAATGCATTAAATTGCATAAATACCAATTGGCTTTGTATCTATGGGGACAGTAGAGTGGATATACATCGTAAAGAATCATGATTAAACCCAACTTTCTTTTCGTTCTTTTATTAGTTTTTAATTTTTAGTATAGCTTCTTCAGAGTAGGGTCTAACTACTGGACTCTTGAACATTCGTCAAAATATTTTAACCTGCTTTAACCACTGAAATTTACGCCAACTACAGCGTTGGTGTTTTGTGAGAGATTGAAGAAATTTGATTGGTTAAAGTAGATGTCATCAGATTAGGTCAAAATGTTAATTTTATGAATGTTCAAGAGTCTTGCTGTAGACCCTACTCTAATTTGATTAGAATGCATTTTGCGAAGTACAAGGACATAGCTAGTAGGACATGATGGTTTTCTCATGGATTTTCAATGTGATTTTGTTTTTTAGAGTAATGCAGTTAATGGAGGGCATTGGACAGGTTCTGGTACCAATACAACCAAACACTGTATCCAACTTGCAGCTTGTGGTTCTACAGAGTTACTGCCCATGAATCCTGATTTACCCGCAGACCTTTTTACCTCTTGTCTTACTACCCCAATCAAAATAGCACTGAAGTGGTATGTGTTACAGAACAACAGTAAACTTGTTCCTGGTCTCACTCTAGAAATGGTAGACAAGTAAGTATTATGATATTCAAATTGATATATTTGCAAAATGTAAATATTATTTTGCATGTAGATCTGATGGATTTTTGACTGTTGGAGTATTAATTATCAAGTCACTTGTTTGTTTTTTCTTTAAAATATTTGAGGTTGTGACCCAGTGTGTGCCTTTCTTACAACTTAACTGGAGAGAATCAGTCTATCAGAAATGAGAGATTGAAACATTAATTCCTAGAATAAAATGTTATCTTTTACTGATATAAAAGGTTTTTTACTATTTGATTAGAATACCAGGGCAGTTAAATGATAGGAGAACTATGTTAGGTGAATTAAACTGGATATTTACAGCTATAACAGATACTATAGCATGGAATACACTGCCTAGAGGTTAGTTACTTCTTCTGGTAAATCAGTGGACAGTAATAAATGTTTTCTGGGACACATGCAAACATAGGCCTATCAGAATATGCTTGAAGGAGGTAGAGGAGCTAAAAACGAAAGGTGTCTTTCCAAGTCAAGGTCACTTTAGACTGATGTTTGGGTGTTGCCAGAGGCCCATAGAAGCCAACAGATTTCAGATGCCATGAGATGAAATTTGAAATTTAGAAGGCTTAATTTTCACTTTAAAATGAAACCTTGCACAGGCCTGAGGGCAATCGGATGCATTGCCCAATTGCTCACCTCCTAAATATGCCACTGCATGCATACCTGCAACTGAGTGGAAATAGCTTGGTCATGTACTTTGTGGATGGGTCTCTTTATGATTGGTCAGTCAGTCAATATGTATGCTAATTTATTTAGTTATTTGGCAGTTAATGCATTGTTTTTAGTAGTTTTAAGTCAACTTTTGTTTATATTTTCAGAATTGTTTCAAAAATTATTTCGTCAAGATTTATTAGTAGCAAGTTTATTTCGTAACTTCCTACTGGCAGAAAGAATTATGAGATCGTATAACTGTACGCCTGCATCTAGTCCCAAACTACCACCAACATATCAACATCCTATGTGGTAAGTGGCTTACAGGACAATGTTTCTCTGTAATCATTTTAATATTTACCCAACTTTGAGACATGCCTTTCTTACAAGTAGTAATGTAAGTACTTTAAGGAGTTGTTAAGAGGTTTTCTGGTTGTTTAATGATTATGTTTATAGCTTTAATTTTCATCATTCAAATTTTCCATCAGATATCTGTAGTGTTTGTAAGACTTCACTATCAAAATAACTGCTAATAATATCTAAGGTCCTTTGTGATAGCTACCTCATAAATTGCAAAATGCTTAGTTTTATTGGAATTGTAAGACCATCTGTTCTATTTACAGGCAAGCATGGGACCTAGCATTAGATCTGTGTTTAAAACAACTACCACAGAAAGGAGAAGAGGAAGGGGCTATATTAGCTCATAGTCATTTCTTTGCTGAACAGCTGACAGCATTTCAGGTGTGGCTGTCTTATGGTTATGAAGAGAGACGTCCACCAGAACAACTACCAATAGTCTTACAGGTATGTAGCTCATCCTGGGGTGTTTTTGTTACATTGGGCGCAATAGTGAGTGGTGGATGACATGTTTTGATTCACTATGTCAGAAGTGTTGTAACATGCATACCTACAGTCAGACTTTTTACTCCCATGCTTGACATCAAAACATATATATGTTTGATATGTACTATTCTTGAAGATTGCCTTGATCTGCTATGTTATATAAATAGTGCTTCACTGTGAAGCAATCATGTTAAAATATACCTCAAAAGAAGAAAAGATATATTATGCCATAACCATTGATGTTTATTGAGAATTTTCCATAAAAAGATGTTTAGCATGTTTTTGTTTGTTTTGTAGGTGTTATTAAGTCAAGTACATCGGTTAAGAGCTTTAGATTTACTGGGTAGATTTCTAGATCTAGGACCATGGGCTGTTAGTTTGGTAAGTCAACATGATTAATCCATTCCTGTATATATGATTAAAGAACTACTATCTTAACGGCTTGATATTGATTCTATCAGCTGGTAATGGCACTTGCAATTTAGGTGGAAATCACTGGGATGAGATCACTGTTGTGAAGTTACTGTAAGCCATGGAAATATTTAGATGTCTTTACCCTTTAATGTATTTAGATTAAAATAGAGTTCATACCAGTTTGTATTGAGATGTTGACTGTTTAGTGCATCTAAATTCATTTCTGAAACTTTATTGTGAATGAGTGAAAATAAACATTGATTATTTCTTTTTAGGCCCTATCTGTTGGAATATTTCCCTATGTTTTAAAATTATTACAAAGTTCAGCGCGTGAACTACGACCCCTATTGGTGTTTATTTGGGCTAAAATATTAGCCGTCGACAGTGTGAGTATGAATTGATAATTTCACTATCACTGGGAAATTCAAAGGACTAGAAAAGTCCAAAGAAATATGTTTCATTACATATGTTTCTTCTGGGGGTAACTTTAAATTCCAACCATGATATTATGAAATTGTAATACATCTCCTGTTCTGTGTCATTTAATATTCAACCAATCAATTGTTCTGTTTTATATAAAGAATTCTGGGATATTCATTGTTAAGCATTGTCTAACCGATCATTAATGCTATTGGGTCACAATTGGTCACATTCCCATCTGACCCTAACCTAAAACCCAATTTAAAGAAACAGATTGTCAGATCATGGATAAGTGAAGTAACCTGCAGAAAAAAAACATTAAACAAAACAACATCTGCATTTTTCTCTGTGTTGCTTGGATAATAATTTTCTTTTAAGAAAGTCAAAATGATATAAGCCTGTAAAATTTTGCCATTTTCTTTGTTTCAGTCTTGTCAAGCTGATTTAGTTAAAGATAATGGTCACAAATATTTCCTCTCTGTTTTAGGAGATAGTTATATGTCAGTAAGTTCTCTTCTTTCTTTACTCCCCTCCCATACCATATCAATACTATCATATTTGTGAACTTCCTGAAAAGACAAGGGCAATAGACAATCACAGATCAAATAATCAGGCAGATGATTCCATGAAATTAGGCCACAAAGTTACAGTCAAAAGAAAAAAATTAAGTAATATGGAGTTAAATGTTTTCCTTTTCTGCACCTGATGGGGCTCCAAAGATAAGATGAAGGGTATAGTCTTAAAAGTGTCTGTGTTTTTCAGGCTGAACATAGAACCATGGCAGCGTTTGTTTTATCCATGATAGTTAACGAGTATAGACAGGGTCAGGTTAGTATTATGGGATAGATTTGGTTGATTTTGTCCCTTAATATGTATCACGCATAGCCTGGTACGATCTTTGCGCACTTGAAGCCAATGTTAAAATCTACTGTCTTCCACATACTGATATAATGAATTTAATTTTACAGTTCTCCTGTTTTTTGTACAAAATAAATAAAATGCTCTCCTTTTCAGGAGGCAGCTTTACAAGGAAGTGTTATATCAACTTGTCTTGTTCAAATTACAGATCCAAATCCTAAATTTAGACAGTGGTTAGCTCTCTGTCTTGGAAAGGTACAGTCATTAAAATTTTTCATGAATTTTTGACTAAAAAAAAATTAAACGAGGGCCCACTACAATGTATCAGCTGATGTTGTTCATTTAATTTGCTTATTTTCTTACAATAGTCATGTCATCTAGATGTCACTGTATTATTATTGGTACATGTAATGAGGTTGGCTTTATGATATTTAATATATCTGTATATTGTATAGGTGTGGGTAAATTTTGATAATGCTAGATGGTGTGGTGTACGAGATTCAGCTCATGAAAAGCTCTATAATTTATTAGACGATGCTTGCCCTGAGGTAAGAGAAAGTTTCCAAGTATTCTTTGTGACTGCTGTATATTATGAGATTTTTTTAATGTTTTTAAAAGGAACTGTTTTTGAAATCAGACTGAATCACAAGCAGTAAAGAAAATAAAAAAATCAGTTTAAAAACCTTTGTTGTTGAATACCAGAAATATGCAAATTTAACTGATTTAATTTTTCTGACTCACGACTATGAAATTAATCAAAATACATTTATGGGTCAATAAGTTATAAACAAGGCTTTTTTTTTATCTTTGATTTTCAATTCCAAACATTTTTTCTTCCACAGGTGAGAGCAGCAGCAGTGTATGCGTTGGGTGCATTTATTAGTTCCTCCTCCGAGCGTACTGACCATGCTAATAATATAGATTTAGGCGTTGGAATGAAACTAACACAGGTTGGAGCAGATGGTAGTCCCCTTGTTAGAAAGGTAAAAATATTATTATTAAATATTGTCATGGCTATGCTATGCAGAGAGATTAGATTGTTTTTGGACGCATTACAAAACTTTGGTATTTTCAATTGATTTGTAAATTGTGATAGCTATGAAATGATATGCTATGATATGATATGCTATGATATGCTAAGAGAAGTAAGTTTTACTCAATGTTTCTGAACATATTGAAAAGACTATAATTAAAATGTTGAGTAGATTTCCAAACACCAAATCATTTTTGAAAAAGAAACCCTGTAGGGCAAATTTAAAGAAATAAATTTTTTAGTTATTAACCAATGAAGTTTTAAGTAATTTTGGATTCTTACTTATTAAATGGAATGAATTGAAGTTTATAATATCCATGTTTGTTTTTCTCAGGAGTTGGCTGTAGCATTTGGTGGATTGGTCGTTCAATTCGAAACACATTTTGCTGCTGTTGCTACTCAGTTACAAGATGACGAATCAAAGATCATCAAAACAGGACCCGTGGTAACGGCAGAAACGGCTGGTGGGTGGAATCTAGTTAATCAATCTGGTAGGGTCGAGTGTTCAATTTGATTAGTCTTTAGTAATTAGCTTGACAATTAGCTTTATTAATACTAAAATGTTTGTCATAGCTCTTCTGATTATTACTTACAAGTTTGTTGTGTGTGTTGCCAAAATGTTGTCTGATCATTACTTACGAGTTTGTGCTGTGGGTAGCCAAAGCTTTTGTCTGATCATTACTTATGAATATGTTGTGTGGGTAGTCAAAGTCATATGAAGGAAAATATAATATCTAGGTGTATCAATGAAAATGTATCTTGGATGGTTAAAGAATCAATTTTATTAATTTGAAGCTTGCTGCTGTATATTTCCCCCTCACGATTGTCACAAACCCAATAGAACCCAACGCATGATTCCATCCTTAACTCCTCCACCAAACACTAGTCCATTCTAATCACTAGTATGTGCATCAAATACCAATTTTGCAACCACTTTTTTACTCCCCTTTGCATGTTGAAACCTACATTTTATCAACACAAATATGAACATTTTGTTTTTTAGAAAAATATGGATAAGTGTTTAAAAAGTTTCAATTTTTTATTTGATTGTTTGTTATGATTTTTCTATTCGATATTCCAAATATCCATACTTGCTTCGTATTTTTTTGCAGATCCCTTTATCTCAAATATTAAGAAAAGTGCGTCAAGAAATAGTCTTAAAGGAGTGAACCTGTGTAAGCTTTTTAATTGAAATTTCCTTTCTAGAATTTTGCATGACTTTTTTCATAATTTATTAGTTTTTGTTTGACTCTTTCTATTTTGGATAAGCTGAGATGAAATTTAATGCCTTTGTAGAAGAATTTAAGATGCATTCATGCTTATTAATGGTGAAAAATAACAGAGGGCAAAGGACTAATATCATGAAATTAATTCACAAACCATTCACCAAGCCCTTTGATACCCGTACAAGACAGTGTTATATTTGAATCGTTCATTTTATTACCACTATCTGATCCATGGCTTTACCCTTGGCTGAATATAATGTGTTTATTATTTCTATCACGTTTACTTGTTTAATTACGATTACAGTTAATTTTTACACTACTGAATGTTTTAAACTGTTGTTGTTTTTTATATTAAATGTCCCATGATGTGTAGACATATGTTTGAATTTAAACAAATTTATAACCAAATTTTTACTGTCAAATGTTAGTCATTTTCCATTAGGTAATAAGTAGGTAAATACACTATTCACTATATGAAATCTCTTAAATTGACTGATGTCAATGTTTTCCCTGTGTCATTTTATAAACAGTGTAGGGTATGACCAGGATCAGTACAGGGCTGTTGATTTCATTCTATTTTAAACATTTTAGGTGAAATTTCACAAATTTAGCAATTTTTAAGGAACCATGTTATTGCTTTGAAAAGACTGAACCTCAAACAGATATTTAGATACTGCTCACATGAATGATAATTGCCATTAATTTGGTCACCATTTTAGTTTGCTTTTTATACAGTTGAGAGTATAACCAGGATCACAGCACGGCTCTTGTTTCATTATTTTGGATATTTTAGCTTGTGATTTCATAATTTGAGCAGTTTTGAGAAAAATATGTTAAATCATTTAAATTCAAGTGCAACTTGTATGAGCCTCCATTTAGTTTGACTTCTATTTGGACAATGTGTGTAATAAGGAGGTTTTCAAATTTTTCAATATTGATGACCCAGTGAATCAATGAAATTACAAATAATCAAATGATTAAATCAGAATCAAAAATTTACCAAAATGAATTTGAATCCCAATACTCAACTATTCGTATGAGCTCTATCTATCTAAATACAGAACTGATAAATGATAATTTTTTCTCTAAAAAATCACAGTCTACTGGCTATGACTGTTAAAAACAATGAAATCAGCAGTCTTAAAAATAAAAATCATCATTTTATGTTCATGTGTCACTAACCCAGTTCGCTTTCACCGTATGCTATATTCTATTTTCATAACAGCTAGTACAAGTTTAGTAAGTATGGATGGTTCAGGGAGTTTCGAGAATTCTTTAACCATAGATAGAGCCAGACGTTATTCATCAAGCACTTCACTTGCAGGCACGATACATAGTTTTAATAACGTCTACATCAATGTATGGAAAACTCTACTACAACTAGCTATGGATGCTCATCCTGAAGTAGCTGATATGGCCAAGACTATTGTTAATTCTGTGAAATCAAGGGTAAGTTTAAAGGGCTTGTTAAGAAACTTTCTAGTCTTTATATTTCTATTTGATTCTTTCTGAGCTTCCAAATGGTACATCAGAACGGTGCAAATTGAAGCTGTAAGTGTTCCTGGTAAGTATACACAGAACAGTTGAGAAATTCCTAGAAAAATGACAATGGGTTGTTGAATACCTGAAGGCATATTGTAAAACTTGTTCCTGGAGTGAAAGAACTTGTCTTGTGTTGAGATTGTTATTACTGAATGTCAATCCATGTGCAACATATAATAGATTTGATTTTATTCCATAATTGACATGTTTTTCAGGCAACTACCAATGTAAAATCAAAACCAGTGCAAAGTGTTGTAATGACAAATTCAGCCCCATCTAGTCCTTCCAACAAACCCCCTGTACATATGACAATAGGGTAAGGGTTGTTTTGTTTTAGTAGATACTGGAGATTGGCACAGAATTAGGTTCATTACATCAAAGTGAATGGTCTTGTCTAACAGATATAATGTATAACATGAAGTGTTAAAAGGTCCATTAAATTTTGTATCGAAAATTATTTGGGAGGAAGGAGGAAAATATCTGCATCAGTGATGTTTTGAAATCAAACTTGTCATTTTACAATATAGATTCAAATACTTAGAGTGTTATCTGATAAAATATAGATATTATATCTTTGACATTATAGAACTCCACCTCAGAACAGTATATCTCATCATGAAGACAGTAAGAGTACAGATTCTCCATCACGACAACCTGGTTCACATCCTCATTCAGTTCAATTCCCTCGCTCTCGTAAACTCTTTGATAAAGGTCCCAATCACGTAAGTTTATAAATTTACATATTTTGGTCATGACCTAAAAATAGAGGGACATTAACACCCCTGATTCAGATAGCAACTCATTCAAGTGCCAAATGTTACCAGTATGAAGGGTCTTAATACAAACACCTCTATGCCCCTATTGAAAATAATCTCTAATTGAAAATGTGTATTTCCAGTTAGAAGATAAAGAGGATGAGATAGTTAATAATAAAATTCCATCTGAAGTAGCCACAGAATTCTTTCAATGGAGTTGTTCTTACTTTGCCAAACCTGTCATGAGATTGTCTGAAGACAAGGATCCTGAAAGTAAGAAATACCAGGAACGAGAATTCCGATTGTACAGAAATTCTCAGGTTCAACAAGAGGCGAGAGAGGAACAGACACGAGCAGGTATTTTTTATTTTGAATAGTGTTTGATGAGTTTGATTCAAAGAATTAAAAAGGATATGTTGATGGGTTAAGGTGTCTAACTAACTACTCTACCAGCTGGTAAATTCTTTAATCCTTTAGCGACAATTAGGGGTAGAGATCACATTAAATAACAGAACACAATTTTATGGTATACTTAAGGTATACATCTTCAGGTGATGATGACAATGTTTATTGTTGAAATGTAGTGTGTAATAAAACTAAGGAGTAGTGAAGATGACAATGTAGATTGTTGAAACGTAGTGTGTAATGAAACTAAGGAGTAGTGAAGATGACAATGTAGATTGTTGAAACGTAGTGTGTAATAAAACTAAGGAGTAGTGAAGATGACAATGTAGATTGTTGAAACGTAGTGTGTAATGAAACTAAGGAGTAGTGAAGATGACAATGTAGATTGTTGAAACGTAGTGTGTAATAAAACTAAGGAGTAGTAGAAGATGACAATGTAGATTGTTGAAACGTAGTGTAAATAAACTAAGGAGTAGTGAAGATGACAATGTAGATTGTTGAAACGTAGTGTGTAATAAAACTAAGGAGTAGTGAAGATGACAATGTAGATTGTTGAAACGTAGTGTGTAATGAAACTAAGGAGTAGTGAAGATGACAATGTAGATTGTTGAAACGTAGTGTTTAATAAAACTAAGGAGTAGTGAAGATGTCAATGTAGATTGTTGAAACGTAGTGTGTAATAAAACTAAGGAGTAGTGAAGATGACAATGTAGATTGTTGAAACGTAGTGTGTAATAAAACTAAGGAGTAGTGAAGATGACAATGTAGATTGTTGAATCGTAGTGTAAATAAACTAAGGAGTAGTGAAGATGTCAATGTAGATTGTTGAAACGTAGTGTGTAATAAAACTAAGGAGTAGTGAAGATGACAATGTAGATTGTTGAATCGTAGTGTGTAATAAAACTAAGGAGTAGTGAAGATGTCAATGTAGATTGTTGAATCGTAGTGTGTAATAAAACTAAGGAGTAGTGAAGATGACAATGTAGATTGTTGAATCGTAGTGTGTAATGAAACTAAGGAGTAGTGAAGATGACAATGTAGATTGTAGAAACGTAGTGTGTACTGAAACAAAGGAATAGTGAAGATGACAATGTAGATTGTTGAAACGTAGTGTGTAATGAAACTAAGGAGTAGTGAAGATGACAATGAACATAGATTGTTGAAACGTAGTGTGTAATGAAACTAAGGAGTAGTATACCATAAAATTGTGTCTCTTTGATCGTTTACATGAATTGAATTTAAAGGGATTGAAAGAAGTATTTCTAAACTTTTGACAATCGTTATATAGATATTTTTATAACATCTTGTTACAGAGGTCTTAAGATAGTACATGTATTAGCAGCTTTTGCCATATTCATAGCATTAAGTGCTTAGTGTCCCCATATACATATTAGAAAACCCCTTAAATGCATTGAGCACTGTTGCTATTTTTTTTCAGGGTTTAATAGATTAGATGATCAGATATTTGTAAATAGAAATCAAGGACTACCATCTGTTATAAAGTTTCATCCTTACGAGTCCTATCTAGCTGTAGCTGATAAAGAGGGTGTCAGGTATTCTATTACACTTCTCTATTTTGTCCTTTTACTGTTATTTAAAGGTTGATTAAAGATAGAAACTTGGTCCACATATTTAATTTCTTTTTCAAAATTGTTTCAATATATGGCTTGGATTGAAATTTGTGTCAGTCTATTGCTTCATAACATATGGCTTCAAACAACAAGAGAGATAAAAATCTAAACTTTGTTTAAAACAGACATCTTTGTAAAATGTTTGTTTCCATAGCTTTATTTTCTACAGTTACTTCAGATTTTGATATAAATATTTCTTAATGAGTGCTTAAAATCTTCCATTACAGCAGTCTTGAACTTTTTAATGCTGTTCCCTTGAAAGGTGGTAAATAATAGAGAATCTATAATCCTATAATTTCAGTATGTGGGACTGGGAACAAGGCAGTAAATTGAGTTATTTAAACAACATGAATCCTAAACAAAGTAGAATTACTACCATGGATTTTATCAATCCACATGATATCTCTTTATTAATGTGTGGTTCAGGTACTTCAACAATTTTATCAGCATTAACCATTTTGGTTTTCACTCACAGATCTCTCTTAGGTTGTATATTATTGACACCCATGTTTCAACTGTAAATTCACTTTTTTCATAAACGGGCAGAACCCTGGTTCCTAACCTGCGGTGTTTTCACCTTCTGAGGGTGTGGGACTACGGTGACAGGGGTGTAGGAGAAGAATTTATTTTTAATTGAGAGAGCACCTCATATCATCACATGCTGGAAATGTGGATGAAATGGGGGTATGAAAGTTCCAGGTGATTGCTCCAGGGGTGTGAAGGCTGAAATAGGTTGGGAACCACTGGAGTAAAATCTACAGTCTCTGTCAAAGAAATTACGTGAAAAATGTATCACAAACTCTCTATTGTAACTGAAATAAATTATAGGAATTGGAGAAAGCTACAGAAATATAAGGTGTGAAATTGAGTGAATAATATGTTTGTCTGGGTTCATCATTAGTCAAAGATTTCCCATTACAAGGTTGTAATATCTGCATCTCCTCAATGCTTTATAATACCTTATTTGATTACTATTACAGATGATGGTGCTGTGAGAGTATGGAGGAATTATATGGTGGATGATGGTCGAGGAAAAGAATTAGTCACCTCATTTCAAGCTTTATCAGATATGTTACCACTAACTAGACGTAAGTTTTAGTTTTTGATGAGTGTATGTTTACACCAGGCAGGGTGGAGCTTAGATCAGGGATGGCATTGACACCAGTTGGGAAAAGATAATTATTAGCCTTGATAATGTTGTACTATGGAGAAGATTAGTTGCTAGGAAGTTGGATTGTTGTCTGCCAGGCGATAAGGTGCAGTTCGATTCCTCCTCAAAGTAAGAAAGATTCTAGAGCTTAGTCATATTTGTCTGAAAGTCTGAATTAGTATATGGTGTTATGGTGTCAGATCCTTTCAAAAGATTCTATGATTGATATAATTCTGTCTTTACAGGATCAGGTTTAATAACAGAATGGGAACAAGAAACAGGAATGTTGATAGCATCAGGTGATGTTAGAATTATTAGAATCTGGGATACGCAAAAAGAACTTAAAATACAGGTAAAAACTGAGTCAGCATGTATCACCTTTATTGCATATAACCTAGAAACTTTGGCTGCTGGATTGCTCTGCATTTTTGTTGCATAAAACAAAGGAATTCAAGTCAAAGTACATTGATATAAGTGTAAAGTTTTTATCTTGGGGTTTTATACATGTCTTGTTGAAGATTATCGAATTCATATCTGCTGACGAAAAACCTACCTTCCCAAATGAACTATCATCACAGGAAGATTTGACCAACAGTCTGGATTTGATGGTCTTTCTCCAGTTTCTTCACTAATTTGTTCAGAGTAAGGTACATGACTGTCCTCATTCTATATAATCTATATAAGATGTGTCATTCTTTTTATCTTTTTAAATCAAATGATGAATAATCTATTCCAGGATATTCCCACTGGAGCTGATAGTTCTGTGACAAGTTTATCCTGTGATTCCAGTGGAAGGTCTTTAATAATAGCAGGTTGTGGAGATGGTACCGTCAGATTATTTGACAGAAGATTGGCTGCTCCTGAATGGTGAGTGACACTACAAACCCTCTTATCTTTGTAATATCAAAATTTTTACTGAAACTTCAACTTTTTATTCCTTATGCATATAGATAATGTCAATGTCGATGAGTGTTTGTCTTGTCTGCGTAGTATCATAAAGAGTTGATACACGACCATGATATGTGATACACATATTATGGCATGTCCTTTCACCATGTATAAATTCACCTATATATATATTATGCTAGCATAACTTACAGTCTTTGTTGTGTTATATCCTAGTCGAGTAATGACGTTACAAGAACACAGTAGTATGGTTTGTAAGGTTCATCTTCAGAAAGGGTCTGAGGGAAAAATTATCAGTGCTTGGTGAGTTCTGTTTTTGGTCACGTTTAGCTTCATTATTATTATTGATTCGACCAACATTTTCTTGTTCCTCAGTAGAACGGGAAAAAAATTCAGTTTTATTCGTGGCATTGGTTTTCTCAATAGTAGAGATACAAGAACTGTTAATGACACACAGACTACAGTAGTTCAGTTGTCTGAAGATAACAATTGGCATAACAATTAACAACAAACCTTAATTTCTGTTTTTACAACCAAGATTTATGATACAATAAAAAAGTCAAAATATGAAATAATTTAATGTCTATATTTACAGTACTGGAGGGGATATAAAATTTTGGGATCCGAGATTTACAGAATCAGTAAAAGAATTTCCAGCTCAGTCCAATTTAACTGCCATGGAAGCTCATTGTAGAGCTGATGTCATAGCTTGGTAAGTCTTGCTTCTTCTTGAGGTAGTAGGACGTAAAACTCCATTCGTTTCAATTTATTTCTTCTTCTAAGCAAAGATCAAAGGCTCAATTTCACCAAAAAAAAACCTTAATCTGTGAGAGATCAAAGCCGAGAGGTATCGCCAAGGACCAGCTGATAGCAAGGATCTTTAACTCTCAACCTTAGTTTTTATCCTTGTAAAATATAGTTGTTTCTTTCTTTCTTGCATTAAATATTTTTGGTCCTTTCATGTTAAACAAAGTAATGTACTCTTAAGGCGTTTTTATTTAAGCAATTTGTATCAGCTCGCTTTGACGTCAGATTATCATAACCGAGCTGAATGTTTACATGTTTACCCAACACACTGATTATTGTACAGTTAAATCTGTCAATGGAATAAAATTTTCTTCAGATCTGTCTATTTGTTGTTAGAAAAATTTCTTAACGTTGGTAAAATGATATTTTTGTCTATATTCCTATAATCTAAGAATGAGTTCTCGAAATGTATTTTATATACTTGTTGTCAGTGTTGCCCGCCATCTTGAATCACAAATAAATCATACTGAAGCGCCATGAATCACGATTTGGTTGATTTGCGTATGTGTATTGTAGGCAAATCAATGCAGGCGCTTCGCTTATATAAATGTACACTTTGATCTGTGTCAAGGTGTTTGTTTAAATAAAAATGCTAAGTGTTAAATGTGTTTTTTTATATTTCAGTGGAGCGTTAAATCAATCTATTGTTATATATAATCAATCAGGTGATAATCTTAGTACTATTAAATATCACGAAGGTTTCCTGGGACAGAGAATTGGTACCATTAGTTGTTTAGCATTTCATCCGTTTTTTGTAAGTATATTTTAAGAAATATTATTCTCTAAAAAGGACATACTTTAAACATTTAGTGAACATTCAGGAACAATTTAAAAGATAAATACAACTAGTCAAGTCAATGTAATAAATTGATCATTACTTGTAATTCTTTACAAAATAAAGTGGACAGATTATGCCTTGAATTGTTTCATGATATATGCAAATATATTTACTGCTCATACCTTCAAGTTCAAATACTTGAAATTTAAAGTCTCCTATCCAGAACATAGCATTAGGACTTTCTTCAAATACATGGAACAGAGCCCTTGAAATTCAACCTCATTTCCAAACCGAAGTCTTAGAATTATCCAGAACAGTCATAGTTCATGTGCAAATCATTAGAGCTTTCTTCAACTATGTGGACCAGAACCATTTGAAGTGTCTTAATATGTCCGGATAGTTCCTGGCTCATCAGCAGATTACTATTAAAAGTAACAATTGTTACAAATTATGTTCATCATTATATTACAGGTCAAATTAGCAGCTGGTAGCACAGATTCCTTTGTATCAGTGTATTCTACTCCAGCTCGACGAAGTTGACAGTAATTATTACTATCAGACATTATTTTAATCAGCAAATTATTGTGATATTATTATTATTATTATTATTCAGTCAATGTGCACACCGCAAATTCTCCAAAGCACTATCTACGGCCCCGTTCCACAAAAAATGTTATTTTTTCGCAAGTTATGTATTTCTTAATGTAAAGTTATACATGACAAATTCTTATAGTAAGATTATTTATGAAATGGAGTCTAGACTCTTATTATTAATGTGTTAATTTCATTGAAAGAAAAAGTAAGTTACATTCAGAATGATTGAAGACTGCTTAAAAATTGACTCTGGTAGGACTGTTGATTTGGGCATATTTTGCCAGACATGTTTGTTTTTCCATATAAAATGTTCTGTTCAAAATTGATGCTTTGCTCTGACAATGTGGTATTAATGATTGTACACCAATAATTCAACTGCAGAAAAGAAAGATTTGAAACTCCATTAACTGCATTTCCAATGATTCAACGTAAAAATATAAGAGTTGAACGCCATTTAGAAGTGAGGAGTTCATATCACAAACACAAGACAATATTATGGAATAAGCACACTTATTAATAGTAAACATAGTGCTTTATATACAGACTGTTATCACTGCCAGGACGTTTAAAACATTTCCTGTGTACAGAAATATTTAGACGACTTTATTCCCTGAAACTGTATAGGTCTACTCAAATATCTAAAACTGTAATATAAAAATATTGACTTGACTCGAAAACAAGAGTTTTTAAAAACTTTCCTCGTGCAAACTACCAAGCATGACTGGCATGGCTACTCAAATTTTGTAGCTTGTTACAATGGTTTTTTAAATTAAGGTCCCCGTACAAGAGAAGATGTAATTAAAATCAAAATAATCTATTATTGATCTAAAAAATGATTAGAGATTAAGACAGATGAACGAATTGAACAGAGGCCTTCTTCTCGTTAACTTGATTAAGATGATTTAAGTTTTATCTTCATCTGATTGGTCAATCACTCAAATCAATTTTAAATTAAGTGATATTATCCAATCAGATTACTGTATTTTGTAAAATCTTAATTTATCGTAGACAATATTTCAAGAAAAAGGCCCCTGATCATTTTGTGTAGTTTTAGTGCTGTATTTAATTGTTATTTTTATTTTAGTTGAATAAGATTTTAGTATAATATAGATGTAATTTTCTTTCTGTAAAATTCTGAATATTATAATGAAATATTTTGTTAAGTTTTAAAGCAATATTCTGTACATTATGTATAATAGAAGAAATTTGATTGGATGTTAACATTATTGTATAAATTTAAGAATATTTCACAGGTAATGTATGAATGTCATAAGAGAAAAAGATTTTAATTTGTGAATATTATTTTAATTTGTTGATAATGAACGAAATGCAGATCTATATTGTAAATTTGAGATAATACATTAAGCCAGACTAAATATTCTCCAAATGATCCAAATGATAAGATGTTCTAGGTCTTAAAGTGATACTATGTCTTAGAATGAAATCTAGAAAATTAGAAAATTCATATAACTATGTAATTATTGAAAAACGCTTAATCATAATATTAGGCTTTTTCAATAGTTAATTGCATTTTTTATTAAGTTTTTCGATTTATCGGATTATATAAGGATCCTGTTATGTTATTTATGACACCAGGTATATCTACTGATGAATATATGCTCTTATTGACCAAGTTTAAAATTTTATGTTTATTCTAAGACGTAGTATCCCTTTAACTTCTAACACTGTTTCTGGGATATCCTAGTATAGCTCTCATTTTGAGAATACTTGACCAGAAAGGAACTTAACATTTTATATAATGGACACAAGCAGTCCAATTTATTTAAAATTGAACTGTATAAAGCCACTGTTCTAACTTGCCCAATCCCTCTATCACTGAAAATAGGATGTATAACAGCATTTTTTTGACTTAAACTATAAATGATTAACTAGAGTATAATGTATAGAGTGTCAGTCATTGTGTGAATGTATTTGAATTTATTAAATTCTTGAGTACTCTATCTTTATTCCTGATACCCCTTGTGTTATAGGTCCATCTACGCCCAAGGAATAAGCCTGTCAATTTTATCTTTAATGCATACAACCATACACATTGAACGCCAGGTCTAAACTGACACTTGACGTCTCATGCACGTGCGTGACATGAGTATTCCTTCATGCACAGGATATCTATTTATAAATGTCACCTCAACACCTTGTGTTGCCAACCTGCATCTGGAATTATCAATTTTGTATATTTTTAAGAACAACTGATGCTATCAGTGTACCCATTAAACACACCTCTTAATGTTTACAGTAAAATACAAAGAGAATGGGGAATATTTTAATTCATATTGGACTATTTACAGTGTTCTTATCATGATATCTAACAAATAAAATACAAAATAGAGAGGGAAATAACATTGATTACAAATTATCTCAGACACATCATCAAATTACAGGCCTTTTAAACACTCATATAATATACCTTCACCTGTTGATGACAGTGTAAATTGTTGAAACATTGTCTTCAATACAATAAAGATCAGGAGTTGTATACCATAAAATTGTACACTAGCTAATACAACCAATCAGAGCACTCTATAGAAAGACTGTAATCAATTTTGCTGCATATATAATCTGAGGCTATGATTGGCTGTATACACAGGAATAAAATCCAATCAAATCGCTGCATTTACAAACTCCTGTGATAAAAGAATAATTGCTATTGCAGTCAAAGTATAAGACAAAGTTCGTAATAATTGGACACTGTGAAAATCAGAATAAATCAGGATCTAGTGTGAAAAACGGTCTAATTTCTATAATGTATATCCAATGTTTAGCAAGCACTTTGTCAGGTAAAATACTGCGCAATACACACACAAATATACAGTATACATAAACCAATGTTTTATACATTAGATTTGATAGGAAACATTATTTGCTCTAAAATCTTAAATATAAGGCAAATAAAAATTGAGAAAAGGAAATTCTACTGGTCTAAATCTAGAAGCTAAGACTAAAGAAATATAGAAGAATAAGAAAAATAGAGAACATAATTAAAAGAATCTTTTGAAACTGAAATCAATGATGACCAATTCAGATCAAAAGCATTATACACTTTTCCTATGCTCTGCGAACATGTCACTGGTTATAAACCAGTCACTGACAAGAGGGACGCACTGGATTAGTGAGCCAGTTTTATCTCCTTTGCCACATTAAATTGGAATGGACAGGACCCGTTCAGAACTCAACGATCGATGTCGCCTGTCAATATGATATGCCAAATTTAATAAAACACAATACTCAAAGCATTCTGAGTCAACCATCATTGTTAGTCAAAACCATAATTGGGAAAGTGATTATCTATATACATCAATATATAACATATCGGCAGTGAGAACGACAGGGGGGGAATATTAGAGACATCAATACTGTCTCGATATTCTCTTTATATATCTTTTTGATTATTATAGCCTGTTATCAAGGATATTTGCTCACATCAGGGGTTGATTCAAAAGTAGTCCAGTCTTTTTTGTTTCATGGAACTGTAAATAAAACCAAGTACTAACGATCTGAACCGCACAATTAATCCCGAAATCTGTAACAACATTTTGACAAAATATTGGTAGCAGCTAATGAACTTTTCATATGAGGAAGTATATCAATCATAAGAGAGTAGGTAGTAAAAGTTGGAACAATAAAAGCCATATTTATATTGTGTTCTTAACTTAAACAACCAATAAATAAAATTGACTGGTTCTGTTTCATATTCTGAATCCGATGAACAGAATCTTTGATGTCTAAAAACGTTTTAATGTAGATTGCTACACTTTTTAGCTATGATTTTCATTTTTATCAGCTTAATTTACTCTTAATATCACAAAATAATTGATTGATTATTAGCACTATCAAATTATAAAGTACAATAATGATGAACATATATTTTGTATTCATTTATATTTTCATCTATACAAGCACTCACTTAATGTTACGTTCATAACTAGCAGTTGTTCTTACTTCCCTAGCAGGTAAGAAGGCTTCATAATAAGATGTGGAATCAGTGAAACTAATTTTGCAAGATTAGGCCTTGTATTCTCGAAACGATCTTAGCGCTAGGATGTCCTAGAATCAATGTAAGATAAGAACCTAGGACAACCTAGCACTAAGATCATTTCGAGAATATACGCTGCCAGGAGGGAGACAGATTTTCCAGAATTATTTGTATGTGTTTGTTTGACTTCAAACGATGTAAGTGAATGTATTATTTGGTCCCACTAAACTGTCCCAACTAGAAAATGACTTAATGCAATACTCTTGAGGTTTGTTATATAACTATCAAATTCATTTCAACTAAACCTGAGTGATCTCATCAAATTATTTTGAAGTTACTTTCTGAATTTGCAGTAGTCTGCTAAAAGGCTTAAAAGATTTATGAACCATATTGTTGGGATAAATATCCAAAGCCTTCGGTGATCTTCTGTATGAGGTTGTCTTATAATTAGGCAATATGTTGTGAAGCTGGTAGAGCCATGGTGTCAAGATCTTGGAAATATGAGTGGTTTAAGGCTTCTTTTGCTGAAATTCTCTTAGCAGGATCATACTCTAATGTTCTCTGAAAATAAAATTGAAATTCATTATGAGAATGTTTACAATAATATAAGTGGATTTAAATAAACCAAAACCATCTTATACATCAGAGACGATTTTCGCCTCGCCCTTGTGCTGTGTTAATTACATTTGCATTACAAATGAAGAAAAAATTTGGCCACAGTATAAGACAGAATATGTATTGATGGGCAATTCATCTGACGAAGAGAGAATATAATATAACATACCAGTAACAAGTCTAATCCAACATTATCTAACTGTTTAACAGAGCTAGCCAGTTGATTAGTTTTCCATTTAGGAAAGTTATTTTTATAATCGGGTAAAGCAGTTACTCCTGGCCAGGTCTCATCTGTAGGGGTTGTTAATGTTCTGAAATATACAAAAAACCATCGCATCACGAATACGGGTTGTGACGTGGTTTTATTAACCCGTATTAAACTAAGCCCACTACACTTTGTTTTGGGGGCGTGGAAATGAGATGGCATTTAAATCTGACCAATCAGATCGATAGAACGACAAAGAGATCATGTGAACAAAACACAACACAGCTTTGCCGCGGCCCGTTTGAAAAGATAAGAACACATTCTCACTAAGTAAATATTCCAAAGTTAAGTTTTATTTTTTTTATTTTCTAACAAGTTCTCTATGGCAGTCCCTTCCAATGACAAAATTTTTAACCAATCAAAGCGAGTCATATCATCATATATCCCAATTAACTGAAAGGAACCGCTTACAGCACGAACACTGCTATACTAGACATTAAATAGAGCATGGTGCCCTGTTGTTCTGCTCATAAACTACTTGAAATTACCTGAAGACTCTAAATAACTGATCAATTTCTGAGTCACCATGAAAGAGAGGGCGTTTGGTCACCATCTCAGCGAATATACAGCCTATACTCCACATATCTACTGGTGTGGAATAACGAGGGGAGCCTAGCAGGATCTCTGGTGCTCTATACCACAGTGTCACAACCTACAATAGAGATGCAGGCCAATAAAAATACAGTAATACTGATATAAGGGACTCATTTGTAATCAACTATTTTCATGAAGTAAATGTCGTTTTCATTCATCTTTAAAATTCTACAATTTTGCCAGTTGATCAATCAAAAATCTTTCTATTTGATAATATTTTTATGAAGCATCACACGTTTTCCATTTTCTTTTAGACAACAAGATGTCAGATTTCAGTTTTTGTTTTAATAATTCTATTTCTTAGATAAGAATTACAAGTACCGGTATCTGATATTTACCTCATGTGTATATACTCTTACAGGAATACCGAAAGCACGGGCCAAACCAAAATCAGCCAGTTTTATTACACCTTTATTGTCTATGAGTAAATTCTGGGGTTTCAGATCACGATGTAGGACACGTCTTTGATGACAAAATAATATACCTTGTAAAATCTGATATGTATAACTCTAAAAGAAATATGAAAGTTAGTCATGAATGTTTTGTGATACAATCTCTTTCATTCTTTAAAACTTATTACGCTTTCCAGCCTTTGCATATGTTCATGTATTAATGACACTAACTTGGTCTTTTTGCACCAATCTGTTTGATATATGTGATTTGTATAATCCCAGAAAAGCTTCCAGATTATAAAAAAAAAATTAGGTTGAATGGAAGGTTATGAATCTTTGGAAAGACACATCAGACTAGAAAAACTATTTTTATTTCCACAAACAGGCCCTAATCCATTTCTTGTGACTACAGAAGAAATGTGGGTCATTGAGCTATAAATAGTAACATGTGGCAAATGTCGAAACACTGAGTACTCCGACACTCTTGCTAATCCGACATTGTTTTGCAGTCCCAGTGTATGTCGGATTACGCAGAGTATACTATACTTATATCATTTAAATCTGATTCAAAATAGAGAAGAAATACTCAAAACTAGAATCTCACCTTGACCAACATTTTATCTACAAACTGTCCATTAGGAATTGTGTCCATATACCGTTTTAAATCCATTGATAAAAACTCAAATACTAAGTATAATTTATTCTCTTGCATCAACACATCTTCTAAACTGAAGAATTTAAAAAATACATAAATAATCCAGAGGAAAAAGGGTGAGCCTTTATCTTTCTGTATGAGCATGTGAAATGTTGAGTTTATAAATGAAATAGCATATCTAGACATATCTTCAAGTCATCAACCAACTTTCATAGAGCCCTTGCAAAGGCTACTCTCTGGCCACATCAAATTCTAAATCACATTTTGTATGAATCCAAATATTGCTGAGATTCTTAGATTGTCTTCGGGTTGATGAAAATGCCAACCATTGAAAACAAAATTATTTGAAACTATGATTTTACAGAGGGAGATTTTCAGTTCAAAATGAGTGTGATTTTCACATGAAATTTCTTGGAGAGAAGTGTGTTCATTTCAAGTGCAAAATTTTCAAAACTTATTCATGGACCCAAAGGCATTCTAAGACAATTGGTATGCACTTGAAAATCATATTTTGAATATTTGTGACATGAGAGAAAAAATTCAATTTAGAACTCAATGTGGCCAGAGAGTAGGTAAGAGTGAAAATCTCAACTTTTATTGTGACATGGATAGCATCGATTTGAACCCTTCAAATTTTCAGTCAGATGTTGATAGTTCTTGCAATTCCACTAAAACTTAAACCTTAATGATGTCATCATCATTGTAAACGCTGTCAATAATATCTAGAGGTTCATACAAATATTTCAGCCAAGTGGCAAGTACTCACCAAACTATATTAGGATGATGTAGCTCCTTTAATAAAGATATTTCTCTGATAGCTGTCGAGGGTACCCCTTCTTCCTCACTCTCTAGTCGAATTTTCTTCAATGCTACAAGTCTACTAGTCTTCTTATGTCTTCCTTTATACACTACACCATATGTACCTTTAAATATCATTGAAATTGTTGGACCCTTGTCATAGCTTCATAAATTCAAAAAGATCTAATAACTAAAATCATCACAAGTCTAATTTTCAACATGGACATTTCACACTAGCAATAAATTTTGATTATAAGATTTTTTCAAATATAGGGCCAAGTTCTGTATTTGACACCCCTTTACACACTAGATAGAACTCTTTCACAAAATCAACATACAGATATATAACCTTTATGACAAACAATACATTAAAATTACAAAAAAAAAAACAAAAACAACATGATATGGGCATTTTAATATTTCTAATATGGTTTATACCAATATATTTCATACATACCCTCTCCAATCTTTTCAATTTTAGTATAATCATCCATGTTGAATGTGGCTAGTGGCTAGTAATTTTCTTTATTCACTGCAACAGAGCTCTTCCTGTAATGAACGTATGGTAAACTTCATAGTATAATCTTAATATTAAAGGAAAGGGACAGATGTGCCATTTTCAGGGGTTGATTTGGGTCTTGAATACCAGTATGTAAATAGTCTTCAGATATTTCAAACCAGGAATTTTACTTCCTATTTCTCTATATGTCTTGATTGCAGAGTCCCAAGTAAAGACAAGTAATCATTGAACTTTCAAAAGGGTATAAATGTGGATACACATGGTTTGAAAGAGCTCAAATTTCGACAGTGAGCTGTGAACACTATTACTGACTAGTTTAACTAAAAAATTCCTGTTTCTAAGACTAAGGCTATGATAAGTCAATGGCAAAATCAAGAGGTAATATCTATTCCACGGGTTTTACTCAATATGAGTTCTACTTAAACTCTTAACGATTTGTTAATCAGTATCTTGTCTTCACTGTGTAGTCAAGATTTATGGTCAAATTGTGAACTTACCGTGTGTTGAAATTGATCAAATTTGCAATTCACACATAGAACAACATAAATGGTCAAGTTATAACAGTCCAACTACAGACACATTTCTACTAGAGTCAAAGTTCTAAAGTAGCGTTAGCATTATTACGCCTACCGTCTGCGAATTTGACTACCTGAGTGTTTTGATTGGCTGTCATCAAAGTACCTGTGGCTCAGTTCTATGAGATGTGACTATGTTTTTATTTTGAGTTTAAATTCAAATAATAAGTTTATATTTTCAGTGAGTGAATAGAATGGAAATTATCAATATCTATTAGGCCCAACCATTTGCCTTGTCCTGCAGGCATGATTAACCTCTTGACAATTGACAGCTCTCGGCACTGTATGTAGGCTTACTGCAATTTGAAAATGTGATCTTGGTCAATAACAGATTCAGTATCAAAAGGTCAAAAAATGGCGGACGAACAGGCGTTTATTTACAAACAAAAAACAAGAATGGACTTGTCAGTTTTGTAATGAAAACATATAAAAACTGATAAGTCTCAAATACACCTTAGTGTACAGATTATAGTCTACAAAACAACTTATCAGGAACTTAAAAAATGGAAAATGTTTGAAAATAAAAGCATTTTACCAATCACTGCCTTGACGAAATTTGAAATTTGCGGGAATGTGTCTCAGTATGACAAAAATTTATTTTCGTAAATGGAAATTCAAAATGACATTATAGAAGGTAGTCTATAGAAACCATCATTGGATATATCAGGTTTGATAAAACAGATGAAATTTTTTTCTTAAAACATTTACTGCCCAAACCATAGATATCCTACAAGAAAATATAAAAAATACGAAACTAAATATGGCACAGTTTACTAACAAACTGAAAGTAGTGGGAGGAAACGTGTTCAAAATGTCTAATATGCACCTCACTCTCCCTTTTCACATTAGACTGCTGCACAATTTTTCTTCTCAAGACTCTATTTTCGGTGCAGCAAAGCAGTAATTCCTAACACTGCACGGTATATTGCGAAATTTATTGTAATATTGCGTCAGATACTACAGCCTAAAAATAGCCATGATTCGGCTGACAAGGAGCAAAGTCGGTGACAAAACGACACTGAGGCTGGCTTTGACAGAAAATTCTAGAAAGAAGTAGTCACGACATTAGACTATGACCGAAATAACTTTGCTTAGGTTTAATTGGTGGTAAAATACTAAAAAAGGAATCTTGATAGGGGAATCCCCTATTGGTCTTATTTAATTGGCCAACTGATCATGTGACCATTCATTTTAATCATTGTGGTCTTTATAACTCTATAGTACGGACAGAAGTGAGAAGTGAGAGTAGATGGTTGGTTGGTAGATGACAAGTTAACGTTCGCTTCCAGTAGAGAGTAGAACACTGGTCTGGTTTTTATATGAATTTTTTCGCATTCAGCAGAGTAACTCAAAAATGATGAAATATTGGTGCTATCAGTACAGCTTTTCGGTGTTATTGATGTTGTTACAGAATGTAGTAGTTCTAGCCAAAGAATTTCATTGTTATGGTGATATTTGTAATACTGATCATAATCAGTATTGTGACAGCACAGAACTAGAAAGGAGGTGTGTTGTTTGTCCCTGCGATGACCCTCAACAAGACATACAACAATGCTTTGATATTTGTGCCAAAAGTAAGTAGAATCTTAAATTTATTAAAGAAACAAAGAAGTATAATTTCGACTTCTTCGTCAACCACTGACAGTCAGTGAGTGGCCACTGGCATCAATTTGACTCTTCTGTATGCGCATAAATAATTTTGAAAAAGGTGCTATTTATAAATGTTTTTTGGAATATATTAATTGGGTGTGGTTCTCCACTACTAAATTTTTCTCTTCTCTGTATAATATGTAGCTTATTCGTGTATAAATCTTAATGAAAATGATATTGCCTGCTGTAGGGTAGGGCTACTTTGAAATCAAAGTTAGATAACAATGGTCCAAACAACAATTGAAACTATCAATGGAAGACATTTTGAAAAATTCTGAAAGCACACAATTTCAAAATATTTTTCATCAAAAAAGAAACTTTATTTTTACACACACAACAAACTAAAATGCTTGATGTAAATAATTGCCACCTGTGTCTAAATTATTACGAAATACCAAAACTCAATGAGATACCAGGTTAACTTTTTATGGTCGTATTTTGGTAATAAAGCCAACGTTTTTTGAGCGAGTCTTTATTCCCTATACTGTAGGGATTTGAGTAAAATAAACGCCCAATTGTAGAGAAATATGTCTCCTGCGTATATATAAAGTCAGTCATTGAAACTAGGTCGAACTGTTTAATTAACAATTAGTACTCTCAGTTTTAATTAACCCTTTAAAACAAATTCAGATTGATCAAGTAGATACATAGATATAAATAGCATACTTTAGAAACGTTTTTGATAATGAAAATGTCTTACAAAAAAAGCAGAATGCCTCTTTCAGACATTTTTGGTTTAATTGCAGATGTCTGGATTAATTCTGAAAATGATAGAGTAAATTGAAGAGTTCTTTCAGTTTTTCTAAAACAAATAGGTCTGTCTAGACCATTTTATTTCTGTAACATCAATTGTTGAGCAATGACCTATATGTGTTATTTTGCTTTAAGATTAGATGAAACTGCCTCAATTGCGCAGTACGTAATATTAAAAATGTCATTGATTGGATTGGCTGGATTTGTAAAGTCTTGAAAAGCAAGTCTTCTGCCATATTATTTTGATGTCCTGGTCTGGTTATTCAAGTATATCTGGAAATTCCCATTTATAAATAAAAGGTCATGTATTAAGTTAAACCACCTGACTAGTTACGTAGTAGAAACATCTATCATGGTCTATTAAAGCTATTTATAAGTTGAAAAGAAAAACAAATATTGGTTAATGTCCTACTTTTCTACGCCTAATTGGACTCAATAAAAAAAGCAATGCCATTCAGTGTGCAATGATGGCATTTGTGCAGTATAAGCCACCTCTTTATTTTATAACTGGTGAATACATCAGGCCTAAACACAGCATTGTTCCTACTTGCTGACAACAATGCTTATATAATCAAATTTTGAGCAATCATTTATTTATGAAATATAAAATCAATCAAGTGTCTTATATTGCCAACTGTAATTGGAAAGTTATCATTTGAACTTAATTCTAAGTTCGACAAGTGTTCATTTTCAGGTGCCTTTCTTTTCTGATAGAAAAGTGTGAAAAGAGAAAAATGCCCGAAAACATCCAAAGACAAATGGCAAACAGTTAAAAAAAAAATTTGAATATTTGTAAAATAAGAGAAAAATTCCATTCTAAGTTCATTGTAAGCAGACAGTAATATTAATTAAAATAGCTAGGTTATTTTTCCTTTACTGGCATGCACCTTGTATTAGAGATTCTAGAGCTCAATCAGTTAGTGCTTTCGTATAAGTCATCTTCACTCATAATTCCAGTCGACCCAGCTGTAAATGGGTAGGGATAATCTGGGAAAGAACAATGCCAAGAGGCTTTGCAAAGGACAAGCTGGTAGAATGGATCCTTTGTGAACCTAATTTGTTATCTTTGTAAAATATAGATGTTTCTTCTTTTAAGCAATAAATATTCATAATGTCACTTGATTTTTAAATTGACCAATCAATGGGCTTTTTGATATGATTCGCCTTGTAAAAATATGAACACAAACATGAAACTTGAGAATTACATTTGAGAATAAGTTACTACTCTTGTATGAAAAGGGTTGGATTTGAATTTGATAAGATAAAATTCACTACCACATTCAAAACTATTTGGATAAAGTGAACCACTATCCTATATATTTATTGTCTTGAAGGGGCGTGGTTTTTACTGCGATATATATGCAATAAACCTTCATATGAAAAGTTTCGATGCTTTTGTTATACCAGTAGTAAAAATGTTGAATGAACTGTCATGGAATTTGTAGGTTATTATGCAGTATTATTTAAAAATGTCATTGATATGTACTTTATTTACTTCATGATCTGTTTATTCAAGTAGAACACATGAACATAGTTCACAGCTATTTTGAATTACTACCTGGACTAAATAAGTTGAATTGTTAAAATGGCTGTAATATTTCAACAAAGCCTTCAAATCACATTTAAGACCAATTCTAAACCTCAGCATGTGATTAAAAGTCATTGTTTATATATTATAGCCATTTTAAAAATTCGAGCAAAAGATTCAAAATGGCTGAACTAAGTTTGTGTGTTATTTCCATGTAAGAACCATACGTGTGAAATTCAAGTGATATGAATTAATTTAAAGACAATATAAATATAAGATCATGTATGGATATAGTAAACTGGTTTGTTTGTGTCGTAGGATTTATTAATATTCTATTATTATGTAAATTGTTACAGACCAATCCCTTACTTCAATGTACTAAAATAAAATAGAAGAAATCAGCCTGATAATTATGACTTGACTTACTTGAGTTATGTATGACCATCAAGTACAAACCACTCCTTGTTGAAGATGTGCAACTTGTGATACACAAACGACATCATGGCCTATCTCTTTGATTACTAAATTAGGCCAGTTGTTTTGTTGTGATTACCAATCAGATACAAATAGATTGTTTTGACATACATAGCCTTTGGCCTTGACTTTGTAGTAGGAGTGTCTAATACACTGGATCTTGACCTTCTATCAATGTTAATAAAATAAGGGAAATTGGAAGAAAATGGTGTCAAAGTATAAAAGCTTGTTTAGTTTGACTAGCTGCAGGCATGCAAGGAGACACGTAAAAAAAAATGGAATAGTTTGGATGATGACGGTCTGACTTCCAGACGATAAAATTATTGGCAATAGATATAAAACGTTTGATACTATTAATCTTGTCAGCAACGGGATAATCTTGTAGTGAAAGCTCGAAATTCGAGTTGGCGACAAAAATCAGCGATCAGGGCTGTTTGTGTGCCCGCCTCTTTACGCGACCAGTCTTAGTGTACAATTGTTATCTCACCCTCCCCCCTCTTCAGACCTTTCTATTTACAAATATTCATCCATATTTCCTGTTAAACAATTTGACATTGTTAAACATTTATGCTAGTCGTGGTTTTGATTGCACCTTGTACCAGGATCCAATACAATGAATACAATACAAATACAATGATTGGACATAAGAAATATAGCAGCTATATAAAATCTTACATAAGTAGTTAAATATGAATAAAATGCCTCACTTGATCAAAATCATCAAATCAGAAAAGAGCAAGTGATGACTCAAGCAGACGATAAATTGCTTACTGTGGTTAGCTTGATATTAATATTGATATTTGAGAAAACTTACTTGTCTACAGGATGGGTTCATATTAATTAACATAAAATTTAAGTTCTCAAGAATGGTCAATATGAGTATATATTCATCAGTGAATCCCAGTAAAATCTGCAAAATTGGTAAATTCCTAAAACTAAGTAATTACTGGTATTGAAAAATGTTTTATCTTAATATTAAGCGCTTTTCAATTGCATATTTATGGATAATTACTAACTTTTTGGATTTATCTGATTATATAAGGATCCTGTTATGTTATTTATGACACCAGGTATATCTACTGATGAATATATGCTCTTATTGGCCAAGTTTAAAATTCTTAAATTTTATGTTCATTCTAAGACGTAGTATCCCTTTAACTAGGGTATTATAGTACGGCCTCATATATATTCCCGCATGAAGATTGTGACAGCACATTTCTTACTAAAGGGACTGGAAGCCAGACATATTCAGCATAATACAAGGATCTATTTATAGGCATTATGCAAGTTATTGACACCACAAACACTTGATTCAGTGCACTTAACAGTGCATGGAAGAATAATGAAAGATGACCTCTAAATTGTCACCTGACTGCCGAGTTTTAGGTGAGGTGATTTAAAAATAGAAGATGGAAAATACAAGTAAATAATCCACTGATCTTTTACAAATATTTAAGGAATGTGGGGAAATAAACGCTGGTTTATCATGTGACAAGACAAATGACCCGGCGAAGCGGGTCATGTATCTTGGCGTGTTTCAATAAGTTAATTACAGGGTCAATTGATCGAAGAAAGGAAATGAATAACTCTCTTTGTCATTGATAAGCCTAGTTGTTTACGTAAACAAGATCAAAAATAGACAATAGGAGGTAGTGGCGGCTGCAGGACTTTGGATTTGCGAGGTGCTCTGCCAAATTTTGTTTTTTGTCAATCCTATAGGGGGCTGCACATGGAAAAGTTTTGGAAAATAAAGAGCTTAAATCCTGGCCATGGCCCCCCTGTAGACACGCCACTGTTGGGCCGTTGGAGGGGTCCAGGGCTCTCTGGAGCCACCACTGATAAGAACTATTGATGTCACTAAAGCAATAAATATTAGATATGTATATAATAGGCCTATTTTAAGCTGATCTACTAGAATGGTGTGATTTGTTATATTAATAGAAGATTGGAAAATACAAACAAAAAGGTATAAATAATATATAATTATGAAGTAAACAATCAGTGGCCAGCTGTCGGCCAGCTGTCAGATTGGTACTTAAAAATTGGGCGTATGTTTTTACATGACCTACAAAAGACGGTGGGGTGATGTGTTTCGAGACTCACTATGTAAGAGCTTTTTCTGACTGGCCAATAGCAGTATCTTGTTATTCAGTGATAAACCAAACTTGTTTTTGTTTTGATTGTAACTTAATTTATGTTCCAAATATAGACATTATGTATAAAGATATTACTTATTGAGTCATGAATTCATGATTCACCTGACTTACTTAATTTTATGTGACATGTACCAGTGAAATATTTTACATTAGGATAATTAAATTTGGCCTATATACTGACCTCTGACCTACAACAATGTTCTCAAGATGACCCTGAAATTTCCTTTAAGATTTATTCTATAGATAGAAGGTGGGAATTTTATACCAAAATGATATAGATCTATAGGTAAAATATATAACGTGACGTAGTTTATCATTATGAAATGGCCTACTTTTATAGGTTGGATTAAAACTGAAAACTTTGGCCTATATATTTTGACATGACCCACAAAAATGGTGTGATGGTGGGGTGATCTGTTATAAGAAAAAGTGTATTCCTATTTGTCTAATTTAATAAATGCGTAGTTGATACAATAACCAACTTTTATGGGTTGTATTTAAATAGTATTTATCTACAGTGATTAGATAGAATTAAATGGTATAGTTGTGGAGATATTTGTTTTAGTATCTGATAAAACCTTTAACTTATCCAGATCTTTTTCTTCTAGTATCATTCTAGTCAAAGTGTCTTCAATACATGTCAGTTTACAAAACCTCTTATAATTTGCTACCTTGGCAAATTTGCCGGTAAATCAAAATTTGATAATAGTCTTCAAAACAGTTCTGATAGTATTGAAATATATTACTTTGTTTTGATAAGAAATATAAAGTTTTCTAACTTTACTTCGAATTTTTTAAAGGAATACTACCTCTTAAGTGTGGTTTACACTGCCATAAAAATTGGCCAGCTTGAAGTGAACATTTTCACTTTGCTGTTTTCACTTGGCCAGAATGCTGAGTCATCAAGTACACACCTGCTCTTTGGAGGAGAAAAAACGCCAACATTCAAAATGCTGCCAACCATGAACAATGCGATGATTTTGAAGAAGTGATTGATTTAGTCACGTACAAAATGTCAAATTTTGTTTTTAAAAACACAAGGAAAATTTTATCTTTTCGTGTATATCGGCAGTGCAAGCTGTTGTAAACACGATATATTCTATTACAACATTTCATGCCATAGGGTCAATGTCATTATTGAGCATGCACACTTCTGCGTGGGCTAGTGTGCCCGACACTGCACTGATATTTAGCCATGCCATACTTGAGCCACCTCTTCTTGCGGGACTTGGCCCACTTGAAACTAGCATGGTGCCAAGCCCTCTCAACCTGTCTACACTACACAGGTCCGTACTTGGCCAGAATGATTTTTGGCTGTCTAAATGCAACTTTAGAATGGACATAAAATGAAAAGTCTCAAACTTGAACAATAAGAGTATATGTTGATCAATTTGACTTACCAGGTGGCATGACTAAAGAATAGAATCTCTATATAACACGCTATATCTATTAAACTAAGTAATTATTGAATAAAACTCTGTTTTTGTTTATTTTTTTATAAACACAAAGACACGCTAAAAGTTACAACAATAAGAATTCCAGTGATTTAGCTTCTTTAACTGCATGTATTTGATGAATTTTACACTTAGAAATGAAATGATATGGAATGGTGCTAATTGATGATAAGATCAGTGCCATTAATATGAATAACAGTTCCAAACTAAAAGGAGTGAATGCCAAGGAAGTTGTGCAAATTTTATTAGATTGAAATGTACAATGTGTATAATATTAATATTTTTTTTACTAGAAATGGAAACCACTACACCCATTCTTACTTCAACAATGTCTATGCCATCATCATCAAGTTCAGGTTAGCTTTTATTCAATCTTATTAAAATTAAATTTTGATTTCCAATTTTTTTGTTGATGACGACTTCTATCCCACAATTTGTTATGTTATTAAGAAATGAGTTTTACATGACAAACTTTGATTTGCCAGACCAGTCCCTTTTTAGGGGTGTCCACAGCCCCCCTGGCCCCTTCATAGAAACACCACTGGTCTTGATTTGATACACTGGTATTATCAAATATAATATTTGACTATTATGAAAATTGATAAAAGCTTGCACAGAATTAATGATTTTTTGACACAGATAATATCGGAGTAAAAAAATTAGCCATTTTTAGTTGGCCCACAACAGCTCACAACAAAATTGGGAGTGATCGGGAGATATCTGGCATATTTGATCGCAAGACGTCCTGACGTGCCTTGTCCGCAAGTGTGCAAGTTTCCTTGATAAACAGTTGTGACCTAGTTTAAGGTCGTCCAATAGAATGCCATGTCGATATCACATGCGCCCTTCTGGGTCACATATTTGCGGTAGCTCTAAATTTCACACTATATCTATAAATATTATTTTGTATTCATGACTTTCAGAGTCTGGGAGTGAATCTGATTATGTTGCTGCTGTAGTTACAATTTTGTTATTATTGGCACTCATAGCTGTTGGTTTGGTTATTTATCTGTATAAGTATCAAAAGGCTTGCTTTGCTCCATCAACCACTCCAAACTCTTCACCTGGATCTAGTAATAATAGTTTGTTAGAGAAACCAACAATAGTGAACATAAATGAGCCCCCAATTTTCAAAAAAAGTAAGTCAATAGCCTTCTAAATAAACACTTTCTCACGTAATAAAAGTGAGATTTTAAAATCTCATTTGACCACGTGTGGATCTATTGAGGTCATGTGAGTCTGTTGACATTGAGCCCTTGAAAAGGCAGCATGATCTGAATAATCACCTCATTAAAGGGATTGTAAAGTGGTCTTATGAACACTTTAAAGGTAGGATGACAAAAACATTGAAATGTTTAAACTAGGCCAAAATGAGTCTTTGTTCATAAGTGGACTTACCTGGTGTCAAAACTATACAACATAATCCCTCTTTCTACACCTGTATGTGCTAACAAGGATGGGGTATATATGTCAGTTGATTGAGAAACCCTCAGCTTTGATATGTATGGGAGACAACTCTAATTGAAGTTCTCTCAATTATGCAATCTTATTTAATTGTACATGTATTGGGCAACAAATAAACCAAGTAGATGCAGTAGATCATGCATTTTGTATGATCATATCTTTTGGTCATTTAAACATCTAAATACATCTGCATCCTGTATAACATTGGTTCACAATCTGGGGTTGCTTGCATTCCTAGCCTTAGCAACAAAGCAACATCACATTGGGGGGGGGGGGGGGGGGGGTCGGCTGTCACATGTATGTGAGTGAATTGTGACATGAAGGTTCCAAAAGCCTGAATGTTGATGTTATTTTCTTGTTTCAGAAAGCCCTATACAAGAAGAAGGTAAAGGACTTTTAAATACTAACTTACATACAAGTCCTACTGCTGATTTACATTCATATCAACACAAGAAAGTATTCAATCCTTGTGAAAACCTGATCAACGACATGACACACGAGCCTGAGGAAACAGAACAAACATCATTAAAGCATGTTTAAATGTTGAAGATCTAATAGTTTTAATGTGATAGTATTAGTTTTATTTAGTTTTAGATTTTTTATGCTTTTAAATACATACTGTGTATATCAATTTTCTTTTTAGTCTTGAAGCTGTACGCATCAAATATCAACATGATTAGTTGTTTATGCAATAACACATAAATCCTTATTTTGGTTTAAGTGTTCATGGAAGGTTTAATCCGCTTGATGAGGAGTCAAATCATTTCAAGGGATCTAGTCATCTAAATATTATTTTCACAAGCTGATAGAGCTCAATTTCAGCTAGCTGTATCGCTTTTCAAAATTAAAATCAGACAACTCGTTCCTTGCAATTTAACAAAAACATTTAGCAATTTGGCAATTCCAATTATCAGTTAGACGTCTGTGGTTCTTGCAATTCCACATGATGACATCACTATCACAAAATCTGCCTAAATTATATAAGGTCCTTTGTGACGTCTGATTGAAAATTTGAATGTTGCAAATCGATGCAATAATCATCCTGATACAGATATAAATTTTGAAAGCCTCTAAACAATTTAATGGTTATCACTGTAGAAACTTGGTGTGAATGTTCGTAATCACCTTAAGGATGAACCCTATTGAAAATCAGAAGAATTGAAAAATATTTAGTATGAGTTATTGCTCTTGTTCTTGAAAACGCTTTCAAATTTAGCTCTTAAACACTAAAATGCATGATTCTTGTTGGATTTTGACAAAACTTGGTTTTATTATTCAGTCACGTGCTGAAGATTGAATATTTGCCTTCTAGAGTTTTCAAGAACAAGGGCAATAACTCATACTCAATATTATTCAGTACCGCCCTAAAGAGTCCAAAAGAAGTGTATGACTGAAGGTTGAATATTTCATACTGGTGATTGTTACTGTACTGCCAAATATATTTATTCAAAAACAAAGCTGCCAGTGGGCGTATATTACCTTGCCTGGCAAGCTATCTTAAAGTTGTTGTCTGTTAATGGTTTTTTGACAAGCTCTTTATATATTAGGATGTTGATTTGACAGCTCATCAAGATGATTGACACTTCCATGAACACTTCAACCGACCAATCAAAATAAATATTTCTGTGTTCGTTGATATATATTGTTTTATTTTAAGTTTGAATTAATATGATATAGAGTAAAAATAATTTATTTAAGCGATTTGTATAAATATTAATTAATGAAATTGGGACTTGTGGTTTGTCTACAATAGAATTATCATCATTGATATTCTCAATTGCACTAATCAATGATATTATGACTAGAGAAAGATTGTTAAAATGGCCTGGAAATTAATTTCCAATTAAACACATGTATCAAATTGCAGACAACACATGTGTTCTGTTTTCAAATTGAAAGGAATATTTGAAAATTAAGTTTTATCAGATCAGAAAGCAAGTATTCATGGCATTAAATCAATTCAAAACTTAACTTTTGTATTTAGATATTATCTGTTTTGTTTTTATTATTTATTTATTTATTTAAAAAAAAATTATTTTTGCTACTGTCTGTCACTTCTACTTGTAAATTGATACAGACTATTTGGCATAAATCTGGAATAAAACAAGGCAGTGCAATTTCGATAGATGTTTGGCATTTATATCTGAAAATTGTACCATAATCATTAGGGCATTAAATTCCATGGAATGCCCTCATCTAAAAAGTTTTGATATTTTTTCTAGTATGGTGCTGTTAAAAGTAACTGATGTATCATATTAACCATGTAATATATATAGAAGTTTTTTAGAAAATTTTTAGAAATATTCTTGGATACCTAGATGGATTTTTTTACTATCTAAGTAATATTTATCATTACAATGTTTCCAAATTTTTGATTGTGACTAAAAACCAACTTATCATGCAAATCCTACAATCAAAACCATCTTAACATGCAAATTAAATAAAAAAATTGACATCAAGGAATCTACATGAAAAGTAATGTGTATTAAAAGGAGCCATTAGATCTGATAAACAACTTGTTAAAACTAATATGGGCACCGATACGATTTTGATTGGCACATGTACTTCCATGTAGATATACATAGATCTGGGTATCACAGAATATTGTAGTTTTAGTAATAAAAGTTACAATTAAAGAGAAAAGAGTTTATTTTCTTCCCACCTTATCTAAATGTATCTAAATCCAAGACACTTAGTGTGCATTGCAATATCAGATAGCTGGAAAGGCAGTTATTTCAACATCTCCAACAAATGAACAGACCAGTGACAGTTACTTCAGGTATTTGATGAGGAGCTGTGCCTAAGGGCGTAGGGAGTCTGGTGATAGCAAACTGAAATTCTTACAGAGCTTAGGTTATATTGGCTCCCCTTAATTGTCTTTAAAGGGACAGATGTGCCATTTTGGGGAGTTTATTTGTGTCTTAATACATGTAATTAGTCGTTAGAGGTACTATAAATGAACGAAAATCGCATATTTCCTTCAAAAATATCTCAAATTCTTTTCCTATTTCTATAGACATCTTTTCTGTGGCGGTGTCTAAGAAAACATGACTCGTCTTTTTAACTTTCAAAATGGGACAATTATGGATACACATGGATTTAAAGGCTTAAATTTCGACGATGAGCTTTGAACACTATTGCTGATTGGCTTAGCTTTACATAAATCCATTTTGTGAGACTAAAGTATGATAGGTCTAAAAATGGCACACCTGTCCTTTTAATAGTTAAAAGAGACAAAATAGTCCGGATCATAAGGAACACAGTTGATAAGACCGGGGCATGCAAGATTGGTATCTGCACACTGTCAAGCTATTACAAACCATGTACATATACCTTGACTGTAGTAGTCACCTTTCTGGTATTACGGAATGCAGGGATTTGATTGGATTGTACGTCAGTGAATACAGCTCATCATAGCCCTCAACAGAAACAAAAGCTCTAAACATTATGGCTTTATGTTTACAAATATTCCGTTGATTGGCTGTATTTGCTGTATTGGATAGCGTACAATCCAATCAAATCGCTGCATTTACAATCTTCCGAGGTACAAGAAAGGTGGCTATTGCGTCAAAACAAAGTTCCTAATAGCTTGAGATTAGAAACATCACCTGATAGTAATATAATAGACTTGAATTATATTAATTCAAACAAATACTGTAGCAACAAGAACAACAATAATATAATATAACAATTTATTATTTCAAAATATACAAAATTAGCAGTTAGTATACATTGTACAATGTTTGGGCAGGATCGTTATATATATATATATATATATAAAATATAGCACAATTGAGCAAAAATTTAAATTTAAAAAGAAGTATGAGATTGTGTTGAACGCCCGAACGCCGTAGCCACAAAATACAGAGTCTAAATTCAAATTATTTGTAACCAAATCTCCTTGTATGTTTAAAACTCATGAAAGAGGCAGTTATTTCAATAATGATAATACATTAAATCATACCTACCAATGGAATGTCATGCATATATTTGGATTCCAACGTACCAACCAAATCAAACAAATCAAAGCTTCCGTAACACTTACAAGTCACATTATTACAATCTTCTACTTCTTCAAAATAATTATTATTATTTTTAAGCAAAACTGAGGTAAATATCTGAAAGCATTGTATTAAATGCGGAGAGAGGAAACGGACCTAAGTTTGAGATCACATTTTATACTGTTGTTAGGAAGTATTTTAGAAATTGTAAAAACACGGATTGAAAATAATACAATGAATAGTAAAGAGAATGCTAAGATTCTGCGCTCTCTTACAACAATCAGTCCATGGACTACTATCAGTCAAGTACAATCTGCCAGCAAATTGAATACGATATGGCTTAACGAAGTGTATGAGATAAAAAAACAGGACAAATTTATATTATCCTAGCATTCTCTTTAACGGTATACTACCTCTTAAGATAACTTGAAATTTTTAAACTTGGCGAAAATGAGTGTCTTAATCAGTGGCCTTACTTGTTGTCATTACAATACAACAAAATCTCTCTATAATCCAATAAATCCATAAAACTAAGTAATTTTGAAGTATGCTTAGATATATTGTGTTATATAGAGATTCTATTCTGTAGTCATAGCACCTGGTAAGTCCAACTGACGAATATATACTCTTATGGACTTTTATGTCCATTCTAAGAGGTAGTATTCCTTTAATTCTGACATAGATTAAATATCATCGTGTCTTGGAGATGTTCTGAAACCATTTGATCTGGCATCATAAAAAGCTGGTTGATCCATATCTTCCCAATAATCTCTGTATTCTACATGCATAGGGTTCGGCATGGCTGCGCTACTAATTGGCTTGGCGGGGTTGCCAAAATTTGAAGATTGAGAACCATACGGATAAAAATAATCTTTTTCATTCCTTGGAAATAACATTTCTCTATTCGATTTCCCTTTCGGTCGTCGTTTCCTACAAAATATAACCACGATGAAGTGCAAGAAAATTAATTTGACTAATAGGAGTAAATTAGATACCATTTTCTTGTCTTTTTTTTCATATATTTCTCTTCACATGCATATAATAATATTACATCTAATTTTCAAAGGACTTTTTCTTGATTATGAGGATCATTCTTTCCAGAGTTTTTATTGAATTCTAAACACGGAGTGCAATCTTACCCAGTATCATGTATAATAAACTTGTTAGTAAGAAGATTTCCACATATAGAATGTAACAAAGAACACTTACTTGAGACGAACAGAACAGCCTACTATTATCAGAATTATCAGCAGTAATGCAACACTTCCTCCAACAGCTCCTCCTAGTATTGGTCCCAAACTTGACTGATTCTCTACAATAACAGAACATCATGCAAAATTAGAGGTGTCTCTCCAAGGTTTAGGTCCGACGTACATTAAGGCCGGGGGAAGCCAAACGGATTTCAGGTGGACTAAGGTGAATTTTGAGCATCTAGAGGGCTTAATTATCACTTCAAAATAAGACTTATCACAGGCCTGAAGGAAGGGAGAGGGGGGCTAAATACGCCCTAAATACGCACCTGACCACTCACAAGATGCTATAAAATACCATTTACAGGAATACAACCTCAAGAAATCCAATCCAACACCAATTTCAATGGATATCTGAGACTATTCAAAGAGAGAAAATAATCAAATGAAATTACCTTTCCTAGCTTGACATTTATCACCCACATAGGGATCTCGACATTGACAAACTACCTCGCTTTCACCATCTTTACAAGTTCCACCGTTTAAACAATATCCAGTACTCAAATCACAAGGAGCTGAAAAACATTGATAGAAAAATGCACTGTTATTTCAAAACTCTAAATAGGGAAGATGTTCGGGTGACCGCAGTCGTGTAAAAATGTTCCAAAAGTGAAACAATTCATAAGAATCTAAGAATTTAAAATTCAGCTCGAAAGAGCTAAAGGGTACTGGTCACGCTTGTGGTCCGTCACAGATAAATCGGTGAATGTCCCAGTTAATGTGTCAAAACAATGGTTGACCCTATTATGGCTGGTAACATCGTTCGCTGTAAATTCTGACCTAGTTTTAAAGTAACCAAACTGCTGAAAATGATGTTGTTAATTTGATTCACCGTTTAAACATCCGATTTGACATTTTTATTAACAGCTAGGACCCATCATGTTGGATGTGATTATAAAATGCCTATATAAGGAAAGTGCCCTTAAGTGTTTTAAAGGAATGAATTGACATTATTTAAAGGATAAAAGAAAATGTTATAAATCTTGTTGGGAAAGCAATATCTATCTAAAGAAGAAATTAGCGATGTAATGGATCAATTTTTCACCATCACAGACTAGTGTATAAAGGTTTACTTACAAACACAGTCAGATTTCGATTTGGAACCAGTTCCAGCTGTAGTTTTTATACCAGAACATTTTGTACATGACATTTGTTTGGTTGAAGGTTGATAATATCCTCGTTCACATTCCATACATTTCAAACCAATTTTATCATAATATGTTCCAGCAGGACAATCAACTACAATGTAAATATAATGTTCCAGCAGGACAATCAACTACAATGTAAATATAATGTTACAGCAGGACAATCAACTACAATGTAAATATAATGTTACAGCAGGACAAACAACTACAATGTAAATATAATGTTACAGCAGGACAATCAACTACAATGTAAAGAGATAATGTTACAGCAGGAAATCAACTACAATGTAAATATAATGTTACAGCAGGACAATAAACTACAATGTAAATATAATGTTCCAGCAGGACAACCAACTACAATGTAAATATAATGTTACAGCAGGACAATAAACTACAATGTAAATATAATGTTACAGCAGAACAATAAACTACAATGTAAATATAATGTTACAGCAGGACAATCAACTACAATGTAAAGAGATAATGTTACAGCAGGACAATCAACTACAATGTAAAGAGATAATGTTACAGCAGGACAATCAACTACAATGTAAATATAATGTTACAGCAGGACAATAAACTACAATGTAAATATGATGTTCCAGCAGGACAATAAACTACAATGTAAAGATAATGTTCCACTAGGACAAACAACTACATGTACTTAAATTTGTAAATATAACTGAAGCAGGACAGTTATGGGTCATAGTTCATAGCACACAGGGAAACGGGTTAGTGCCATGTCTGGGAGACTAAAAGACTTACCACAAGTATCATTTTGTTGATATTCACCATCTTGACAGGCCTGAGTCTTGGTGATAGACTTTATCGCTTCAAATTTCACATCATTTACATTCTGTATGAAAGAAATGGAAGAAAAGTCATATCCAATTCAGTCTATTGAGCTAATTGAATCCCATTCAACTTATTGAACTCATTAAATCTTATTGTACATTCCCTGTGTAATTTAAATTAGAACAAACTTTCGTTCCGTTTTTTAGCCTTAATTTTTAAGATAGCCACTTCAATTATGGTCTAAAGACAGCCTTCTTGAACATTAGTCTGTTTGATGACACCGCCGGCCAATCAAATTCCGACCCCTTCAACAGTGGGATTTTGTGACGCGAACGAAGGGTGTATTCCGATAAGCGATGGAGATGGCAGGATTTTGATTGGCTGGCGGATTTATATTATATATTTTAGCTTCTAAAAGATTTGAGAAACGACCACACCATAGCAACGCCCCTACAAACACTTCCACTTACCAAATCATTTTCAAATTTTGTTCTGTCATACAGAGCTTCTTCCAGAACCCTCTCAGTGTCTCGTGTTGCATCATTGGATGATACCTGAACTCTGAAAAATAACACATATTAAACGATTTCTGACTCTCAAGCAAAACTTCATCTCTTCCAGTCACATCTGGTCTCTAAATAATAAGGTAGTCCATTCATGTATTATGTCATTTTGGCTCAACGATTAGGGCAAATACAAAATTCCCTTAATATAATGACTCTGACTCACATAAGCTGGCCCGTCGCCCACTCTCCCTAACTCCTTTGAAAAATTGCCCCCCTGAAAGAATAATGGCAACAGACCAATACCTTTACCGCTACTAAACATCGTACATTATTGCCATTAAAAAATATTAAAAACATCCCAGATGAAGAGTGTGCGAATAAGAGAATTAAGTTAAAATTATGACAACTCACGGCACGTCACTGACAACGGTAGTAGCTTGAGCACTTGCTGGTTCAAGTACACCACGTTTTTGACGATTTGGATTTGAATTTTGACAACTGAGTTTAACAGTGGTGACAATATTACCACAGTTCACATTATTACAGATTTCATTATACAATCTAGCTTGTGCTTGAATAGATTGTATCAACATGCTCTGTATTAAAGCACGTATATTTTCTGTGTTGCCACCACAGCCACCCTCCAGACTAAATTCAGTCACCATTGTAAAAGTTGTCCTTGCCGTAGTTGTTCCTGGACTTTGTGTAACTGTAACAAAAAGTCAATTAAACATATCTCAATGATAATATAAAAAAAAACCAATCTTATAATTATTCGGAGTTGTCATCAACTTTACATGGAATAGGAAAATTGGCATGTGAAAGACAGGGCCATTACTACGGTCTGTTTTCACTGAGGCAAACATACTCATTTCTTTGAGGTCAGTTCAGTGGCGGGGCCAGGTTTACGTCCGAGGGGGACTGGGGCGAAGTATATAAGATTGTCCGAATTTCTAACATAGTTATGATATGTTTGCCCGAAGAACTTGCTTTTGGGGTTGCGAGGTGGGGCGGCTATCCCCTTTGGCTCCGCCACATAACGTCTTTCATCGCAACACTTTTAGTAGACGTGAAAGCTTTACACGAGAACGATTGATATGCGAAAGTTGTTTGACACTCGAACGCTTGACTTTTGAAATCTTGATACAACGAAGCTTTTTATGTGAAAAATCACACGATAAAAAGGACAAATCTCTTGAAGGGAATCTCTAGAACGATTGGCAAGTGGAAATGTGGCTAGAGTACAAGTTGGCACGAGAATGCTTGATAACTTGAAAAACTTTAAATAGAACAACTTGGCATGGGGAATATAAGCACAATACTAACCATGGGAGGTAACACATTTATCCTTTCCAGTATTCGTTGTGGTCTGACCTACCGGGCATTTAATACATATCATCATAGTGGCACTTTTATAATAACCAATTGAGCATTCTTCGCATGTTTTTTTCTTTATGATATATTCTTTACCAGGTTCACAATCCTCTACAAAAACCATAACCATTTTAGATTTAAAGGACAGGTGCGCCATATTTTGGACCAATCATATCTTAAGTCTCAGAAAAGGAAATTTTGTAGCCAGGCCAATCAGTACTTGTGTTCACAGCTCAACGTCCAAATTAGAGCCTTCAAATCCATGTGTGTTCAGATTTAACTGCGTTTTAAAGTTAAAAAGACGAGTTGTCTTTGTTGAGAAACTGACATATATAAAAAGGATATCCATAGAAATAGGAACAGATATTCCTTGTTTGAGGTATTTTTTAAGGAATTATGCGATTTTTGTATATGTCTAGTACTTCTGAAGACTATTGATATATATATCCAAGACTCGAATGAACCCCCTAAAATATCCCTTTAATAGAGCCCGAGAATTTTTTTTTATGAAACAAGCGCCAGGGTTCTACTTTCCCGACTCTTTGTAGGGAGTTTAAAGTATGCAATAAATCTATTGAGTTCATCCTGTTGTTTTGAAACCACTTCAGCCAACGTTTTAAACACAGTACAGAAGTATCCACAATGGTCCAACATAGGGCAAACGGTTTACAAGGTATGCTGACGCTCTGCCAGAGATTCAGGAAACTGCCAAGTATTGTCGAATGAAGAAGAAAAACTGGCAGCTTTGATTTTGAATAAAAATATTTAGCAGTACAGTAACAATCACCAGTATGAAATTTTCAACCTTCAGTCTTACACTCTTTTGAACTTTTTGGGGCGATACTGAATAATATTACCAAGTTTTGTCAAAATCTGTCAAGAATTGGGCCTTCTAGAGTGTTTACAGGCTAAAACTTGAACGCGTTTTCACGAACAAGGGCAATAACTCATACTAATTATTTTTCGATTCTTCTGATTTTCGATAGGGTTGGGTGATAACAAACACCCACACCAAGTTTCGTCAAAATCCATCAAGAATTGCGCCTTCTAAAGTATTTACGAGCTTCGATTTTTCTGATTTTCAATATGGTTCATCCTTGGGTGATTACAAACAATCATACCAAGATTCGTCAAAATCAGTCAAGAATTGTGCCTTCTAGAGGGTTTACGAGCAATTGTGGACGTACGGACGGGCATGGGTGACGACAGTATACGACCCCCATTTCATGTGGGCGTATGAAAACATCGTAAATATGACATTTTTAGTAGGCTTACAGTTGACATTAGTGATTTTTGTTCTAGTAGATCTATAGTCATACTACTGATATGTGAGGAACAGAGGTAACTACTGGAGAAAATCATCCATCCAGACCTACCTAAACACAAGGATTGACTTATACCAGCCGTTATAAGAGTTGTTTCACCAGCTGGACATTTCTTGCAAGTTGTCTGTGAAGTTTCATCTTGGTATTGTCCCAGTGGACATGGTACACAACCACCAGCTTCTCGTTTGTACCCTTTATCACAGTCGTCTACAAAATAGTAATAGCGTATATATAGGACTATTCAGTGAGGTGGTCGAGATTGATACATTTGGGCAGGCCCCAGTGGTGGCGCCATAAAGGGGGGGCGCCATATTTGGGCACGCTCCTTTGAACGCCCGCGTCTATGATCTTACT